GGGGGCTCGGCTTTGTGCAACATGTCACAATATAATAAAGACGTATGGATACACATGGTTCTAACATTCGCCCTCTTGCCTGTATACTTGCAATATATAAATACACATACATATACCAGTTAGGAGTTTACATATTGTTAATTTTTTTTACTATTTTCTTAAAGCAGTGACAGCCTTTGCAATGCTGTGTTGCCTGGAGTGAAAGCACTGCCTGCATAATGCCACTGATTATATAAAGACATTGATACTGATGCAGTTTATTTTTAATATGTGAATTTAAGGCGATCTTTAATTTTCAGATAATGAAGCAGATAAATAACTCACGCAACTGTAAAATATGTATGGCAATATTTATGCTCATTATTCACTTGCACCTATAGCTGAATATTAATCAGTGATGTCAGAAATATATCACTGTATTTCAAATGGTTAAAGCATTAATTTGGCTAGTGTCACACACCTGCTCCAGTTTTTCCAAACCAGGTGATGAGATCATCATCTGTTAGTCCATCTAACAGCGAACTTCCTCTTTGGGTGTGAAAGAAAGTCTCAGCGCCCAAGTCTGACCTCCCAGCTGGATACACACGTGCAAATGCAGGGCGCAGTGATCCAACCATGAACACACTACGTACTGTGTAATGTGCACACAGTGCACAGGTGTTGCTAACCTGTGAAACAGAAAATTCATATTTAATATTTCTCTGTGAACCGGTTGTCTAAAGAAAATGTGGGAGCCCCAGTGTCTCACAACCCTATGGGCCTTCAAGGCCTCTTACAGGGATAGCTTTACCTTTTATAATCTTTACTCACCTCCATCTAGTGCCAAGGTTAAGAGTGACGGAGCTGTACCTTCAGTCCCCCATAAAATTTCATGATGGGGTACATAATTAATTAAATCCAGGGTAGGTTTACCTTTAAAATATTTCAAATGAAACAGTGTCTTCTGCTGTTATGGGAACAAAAGCATCTCTTAGTCTGTAATGTAAGTTCCACTGGGGGAAGGCTGAAACAGATCTCTTGGTAGGAGTGGGTAACCTGAACATTAGGAGGAAGAACTGAAAAGTCTAGCAGTGGAGGGAAGGGGGCTTTGCAATCCCTGAAGCATACAGCATGGGTGGGTGGAGGGTCCTGGGGACTGTCCTTGAATTCTGCTCTTCTGGTGCTATAAGCAGGCATTCAGAATCTGAATGGCCCCTGATAAGGGGCCCACTATGGGTGAAACTGAAAGAGGTAACCTGACCATCAAGAATTGATTATGCTAACAAATGCATGAGCTAGATAGAGGAATGGTGTTCTCCAGTAGCTGAGACCTTGGCTGAAGCTTGGGACAGCCTGCTGCCAGCAGTCCAAGCAAGAGGCCATTATGTCAATGCCTGACTTGGTTGGATATAGAGTACAGACTCGACATGGGTGAAGGGAGGCATAGTAAGAAGGCCCCAGTCTGGAGGGTTTTGGCTCCAGCTAAGGTAGAGGCTATTTACTGAGCCTGAGCAACATTGGATGTGCACAGTGGACCCAGTAGAGGTGTGAGTGCTGGAGTTACAGAAAGTTGCCCCCCACCACATCAGTATAGTACAAGTCATGAACTGATTCACTGAAACCAATTCAAAAAATAAATGGAAATGTTTATGAAATTGGTGATATTGTTTCTTTTATTTGTAAACTCTACAGCAATACATATATGTTTCTTCTTTTAAAACTACAATAACTGATCTGCTCTGATATATATATTGAAATGAAAGAACTTTGTACTACATTTGATCAATGGAGACGGTATAATATATAAGGAAATTTTACGCGGGTAAGACCCTTTACATATATAGGGTTGTTGTTACCGATATGTGTATTCTGAAGACAAAGTGTAATCCTCAATTGTATGAAAATTTACAGCATAGTAGAGCTATTAATTATAGTACTTTGCCCTTTACAGGAGCCACAACATTATCAATGAAAACTTATCAATTTCAGTATTGAAATTTTCAATGTGTTCATTGATTGTTATTTATTCTTATTTAATTGCAGATTATGAAAAATTTAATCATACTTCAGTGGATTACAGGGCAATACACGTTTATTTGATATGTGAAAAAGAATTATGGTTTAGATTTATTGAATGCAGTAATATGTAGCAGGTACCAAATGAAACTGTACATCCAGAGGTGTATTACTGTGCCCTTCTGTAACGGAAATATAATCTGAATCTTCAGCACTCCAGTGTTGTTTCACATTGAACGTACATAGATGGTATCCTTCATGAAACCACCTAACATGGCAAAGAGGATTAAGTCAGGTGATGAAGGAACTTGGCCATGATGGCTGATCCTTCTACTATAGTGCTCTCCATAAAAAATTTTTAATTACACCAATGAATGCCCAAGCAGCAAACATACTGATAACTACAAAAACTTTGGAATAGTTTGCATACATTAGTCCTTACTAAAATGCATTTATATACTTAATAAAAGCAGAGTAAAATTGTTTTGAAGTTGTTATATAAATTTATAATTATTCTGTATATTAACAATAGGCCTGTTTTATTTATTATTTATAATATATTAAAGGCATTTGATTTTTATGGCACTAGCACTGTAAGAATGTGATTATGATGACAGATCTACACATTTCATACTTACATTTGCCAGAACGAACCATATCTTGTCTGCCCGAGATCCATGGTGTACATCTGCCATGTTACCACTGCCGTCAATAATAACTGGGCTAACACTCAGTAGCTGGAAACCTGAGAAGAGTGTCACTTCCAGCCGAAGAACCCCTGAAGGATCTTCACCCTTCCATCTGTCATATGTGAAATTAATGTTACATTGACAGTAGTTTTGTTCTCAGTCAGTAACTTCGTTTTCCTCAAGAAATAAATGTAGGCTAGAAACTAATGAAAGTAATGACATTATAGAAAACTCCACAAAGAAAATCTGCAACCACACCATACATTATTTTAGTTCCAGCTATTTACATTGATTTATACAAAATATCAAATTCATATTGAAGGAACTGAGAATCTTCAAGGAACTTCAGTATAGATGAAGTGCTATGAGTTTATCTTGTTTCAATTTATCTGTAAGTCACAGTAATGGTAAGTACTCCTTCCTTTCTCAGCTACCCAAGTTCTGTCCCAGGTAGAATTAAGACTACTATCTTCTGGGACATAATGTCATGCAGTCTGTTGACTCTAATGGATTGCTGGTGTTATATCCCAGAAAATGGAAGTTTTCATAACCACTACTATGAGAACCACGAATCCTGAACAGAATTAGCTTGCTGTGATGTCATCTTTAATGCTTCTTACCATCCAAATCAGAACCATTTGTATTCCTTTCTCCTGTATAAAAACATGAAAATTTTAACATACAAAACTCTCAATCTACCTGTTGTTTAGTATGAGAGGAAACTTGATGTTTTACCCTAACAGAAGAACATAAATTGAAGGTGTCTGAAAACAGAGAGCTGAAGAGAATATTTGTACCTAAATAAGAGGAAGAGACAGGAGGATGAAGAGAAAACTGCATAATGAAGAGCCTCGTTTTTGTACTGTTTGCCAAATTAGTGAAAAAATCAAGGAGGATGAGATGAGCAGTACATGTAGCATATATGTAAGAGAAACAGAGAGGAATTCACTCAAAATTTTGGCCAGGAAACCTGGAGGAAAGAGATCAATACAGAGACTTTGGTGTAGATGAGAGGATAATATTAAAATTGATCTAAAAATTGTGTGGGGCATGGACTGGATTCTGCTAAACCTCTGCTTGATACTTGCTTCATGCTGGTTTCTTATTTGGCTTACACTTCAACTCTGAAGATGGAAGCAGTATATTCCTCTGACACATCAGTGGACTGCTACCAACTCTACAGAGCATCACAACCCAGGAGATTGCACACTTCATATTCACTGCAATCTCAAATCTAACATTTTGAGTTCCATGAAGATGGAGAATCCCTTGATTAGCTGAGCAACTGTTAGCTTCTCCTCCATGGAATTAATTACTTGATCAGTTGGTGACCCCTTTGTTTCTTATCTAAGTTCCTTCTATTGATCCATTGGTTCAATAGAAGGAATTGATATTGGAACAAGCCCTAACTGTGATTTACTTCACATACTACATCGCTGCGCCACTAACAACAAAGTACTGAGACCAGCTAAACAGATAGTTATAGAGCTACACAGGATAAGCATTCGTTTTGAAAGCACAAGTAAAGGAGTTAAAATCTCCTAATAACTTACAACTGTAGTACTCAAATTAATACACGTTAAAGCAAGGGAGAAAGGAACAACCTAATTTTGAATCTGGTGCAATTGATAATGCACTGAAAATCCAAAAAGGGTAAGTCTTACCTGAAACAAGTCTTGACCCTGAGGGCAGGCAACTTCCCTTCTAGTTCATCTACAGAATTATGTCCAGGTATTATTTCGTCTTCAATTCCTGCCCACAGATCCAATAATGGAGTGTGACTAGATGGAGTGTATGTGGAATAACTAACTTGGCCCTAGAATAGATATACAGCTGTTTACATATTAAATTTCTAGATAAATATCAGTGGAGTATGTGCACCCCTAACTTCCATGTAACTATTGTGTCGTATAGACACACACACTTCAGCCCTGAAGTTGAAGACAGTATGTACCTCTAAAATGTTGGCAATATTTCCCAAATCCACAATGTGTAAACACCCACAAGCTGAATTAACATTAAAAGTTAATCACTGTAAAAGCCTAAAATCAGTAATTGTTTACATGTTTAATTTCCGGAAAAAAATGAGTGGAATGTGTATATCACTAAGTAACACAAGTCAAAATCACAATAGACCACTGTAGGTCATGGTGCAAGGGCCGAGAAGGCCCACCCCTTATACATCACAAGTCAACATAAATAACCTGATAAACATTTAAAAAGAATGGTTCTTCAATGAATAAGAAACATAAATGCAATGGAGAAGTTTAGAATGACCAAATGCCAAGCTTGTCTAATATGAAAAGGAGATGATGGCAGAAGTTTTGGTCCATAAAGGAACAATTTTTCTGTTCTATTTGTGAATCTGTCATTCATATTTTCAGTAACGTGTGACCCTGACTTGCAAATATGTAAACAAATTCTGGGAAGAACAAATTGCCTACTTTCTGTGACCACATAAAAAATGATATGTCCAGTAATTCTTCTATTGTTGCATGTGTTTCGTTGTCATGGTAAAGTTTATACTGAGTTATTGCCTAGCAAAGATTGGGAGATTTTTACCAAGCCAGTGCCTAGCAATGATACGGGGATACATATATAGTCACACAGACTGATGGAAGGAATTTATGAAGTAAGCCCTTGAGATGGGCTGAGTGCTATGACATACATACCAAATTCCATAAATATTGGTTCAGCCACTGAAAAGTTGAGGGGGGGATACACAGCATGGCGATCTCATATGCCTACTTTTATTTTTTCAAAATAAGGAAAATAGGATGTTGATACATCCAATCCCCCATACACCTTCATGGTGTAGTGCTCAATTAGTTAAAGGCAGGGACAACTTTACCTTTAAGGAAAGAAGGATAAAAAAAAATGTGACCATAAATAAAGATGCTTTGCATTCCATACTTTACAACCAAACCAAATTTCTTGCATCTTTTTTCAGCCACAAGTTTTGTTCCTTCAATCCTTTTGTCTTTCCAGCTCATGTAAAGGAAAATCATTTGGCATTTTTGTGGTTAATAAAGGTAATATTAACACCAGTGGAAAATATCGTGGCTATGATTACCTGGACAGTAGCGCAACCCGCACCTGTGGCATAAACAAACACTTTGGTGGGGAGACTGGGAAGTTGCAACTTCTGCAGTGGTGAATCAGGCTGCAGTTCTAAAGTGTCAGTCAATTCCATGCCTGAGGTGGCTAGAGACACTGTCAGTGCTCGATGGCGATCTAATGCTAGCCAGCTAAATGCAGAGAATGCCTTCACAGCAGTGTAGAGTAACTGCAAGATAACATCAAACACCCATTAAATACTGTCTCTTTATTGCTTTAAGTGGAGTATATAAATAACACCAGAAATATAATCTGTTCTATAAATATTGTTAGTGATGCACTGGATAGCTGGGAGACCATTTTCTATATAGAAACTGACAGATGCCTAGCCAACACATCTCACCTCTGTGTGTCTGTCCAGGAGATGTGAGCGATAAAAGAGGTAACGTGCCACTGGTTCTGCTGCCTTGAGGTCACCCTGGTGAGAGTAGGTCATCAGAGCATACAAGGATGCTTTGTATTCACCTACACTGGCTGTAAAATTAAGGACTACCATTATGTGATGCTAGTGACTCTTAGGAATAAATATTGAAATTCAGAGGGATATGAGTTTCTCATAGTAGTCATGAAGAGTTCTGTCTTCTGGGATATAATGCCATGTACTCCATTGAAAGTCTGCTGACATTTGGGAGGAACATGTTGCCTTCACCTTTAGGGTTGAAGAATAAGCCCTCTGCTTGCTACCTGCTTCATTCTGATTTCTTGTTTGGCTTTTCTTTGGCCCTGAAGATGGGGGTGATCTGTTCCTCCAAAATGTCATATAACTTTCAATGGGCTATATGTTCTTATATCGCAGATGATATAACTCTTCACTGGAATTCAGTGCTTACAATTTTATCAGAAACTGATAAACAAAAAATTACTGTATTATTTCCACAATATCAGCTGGTGAGTCTGATGGTGTATATTCAGTGGGCATTCACTTTGAATATTTCATGCAGTTCTGGCTGCTCTGACTGAGGATTTGTATAGTTATTCTTCATGATCCCAGACTGTCTCCTTCAAATTCCTTTCCACTGCTCCATCCTGTCACCTCAACTGAAGCTAAATACATATAAATCAATATAACTGGTAGTACTGAAGGAAACGGGATACATTTAAAAACATCCATTAAAGAAGCAACAAAGAAATGTATCCAGCATCAGATAGAGAGACAATAGAAATTAAAAATATGGATTAAAATTAAAGAAGCAAATTAAGGAAACAAAAGAGCACACATTACATAATGTACACCAAAAAATATTAGAAGATATATGTTGCATAATGAAGCAGGACGATAGCAAGATTCCTGTTTTGGAAGAAGAACAAAAATAGCTGGTAGACATTTGTACATGATGTGGTTTATATTAATTTAATTATGGAAGAAGCATGTCCAAACTATTACAAGGGTATTTTATATAATGTGAAGGCAGTGGACACAAATTTAGCAGACGAAGAGCAACTAGTGATGTATGAAGAACTAAGCCCTAAAAGGAAGAAAGAACAGGAAAAAATGAGGATCTGGATGAGATGCTCATGGGGCTGTGGAAATATGCTTGAGATAAAATGAAAACACTTTTCTAACGATATACAGGATATTAGGATTGCTGGGCTACATTACCAAAATTATAATCCAAAGGCAGAGAGATGTGTTAAGGCCCAGAAATAAATAGAAAGATCAGTTTAAGAAGCCCTGAACACTGGAATGGGCTTATAGCACCAGATATCTTAGTTGGAAAGAGAATGTATCTAAAATAGCTATATTTTGCATGTCTGCATGGTGCTGTAACAATATCTGAAGCATCCTGTAATCATGCATTACAAAATTTAGCATATAGTCAAGATAGACCACAGCATAATAAAGCAATGAAAATTTTTCAGAATCTATGTACTACCTTCAGTAAGTTCTAAAAAAAACCCTAATACCGCACTCCTACAGCCTGCAGCCTGTTCATGTATGTCAATACAAGGAGGCAGAATTGTTAAGTCTCTGGGTATGACGAGACCCAGAGGGGAGTAAATTGCAATAGGGAAATTGATTATGTGAAGTGAGTAGATAACGAATGTTTGCCATCAATTGGGAAAGGTGGTGTCAGACATGCTGCCAGTCCCATACCATCCAGGGTTTACCTCTTTCCATGCATGCCAAAACAGTTAAAGGAAGCAACAAGTTCAGTTAGCTTTAAAGGCTGTGTTGCTAAAAGTCATGAGTGGTGGCTCCTGGAAACAGCATTTACCCTTATTTCCAGCCCTGATATCTGCTGCCCAATCCAAAGTACATGTACTCACTTATAATGGGCTCTTTCCTATGTTTTCCAGCTCCTTCATATAACCAATCAGGTGCAGTCTTGCTCAGGGATATGTGTTGCCAGCCAAAATCTCCTTCCTCATTAGTAGAAGCATTACGGAGCCGATCTAAAGCAATACTGGAAAGATCACTCTTTCCTAGAATTAGGGCATATGTCATGAGTGACAAAGGGCATGGAGAGATGACACGGAACACATTGCGCTCCAGGAAATAGCGTGCTTGCAGCATGGTTTCCCAGTCAACCTGAAAAATAAATCAAAGAAGGGCTAGACCATTGTTATAGTAAGGAAAGTTAATGCTTTCGGCTTTATGATAGTATTCTTTTAAAAATATAACCAGTTTTACTAATGGTATGTTTGATTATGTATATTAGATGAAACACATATTTACTGTTACTTTTTGGTAATATCTGATATTCTTCAACCAAAGAGAGTCCTATTTGATCAAGAATATGTTAAATTCAAAAGTTACACATATGTTTAGACCTATGCTTACTTCATTCTCTAGTCCAACTTGTAGCAATGTTACCAGCGTCTCAGCAGTCATTTCCACCTGATGATCCAGCATGTGAGAGCCAGAGAGGTTTCTTGGTGTGCTTAGGGCAACGTCTGTAGGAAGTGGGGAGAAGCCCCCATCATCTGCCTGTCGTTGCTGAATCCATCGCTTAATGCCTGATACAAGAACTGGATCCACGCTGATATAAGACTGAGTCTTAGCCAGTAACTCCAGTACACTGACTGTGTTGCTACATCAAACAGAGTAAAGAACAAACTATTGCTACACAAAATTACATCCCCTGAAGTTATTTGTAGAAGTGACGCACATTTCTGTGGGAAGATATCATGCTTGTCCATGGCAATGTGCATGTGCATACAAGTACAGCTGCTTTCACCCGAGCACTGTTGGAAAGTTTCAAGTGGTAGTTGTTTGACCACCCTTCTTACAGCCCTGACCTCACTCCAAGTGACTACCACCTGTTTACCCACATGAGGAACTGGTTACGATCCACAGCACTTCAACAGTAATGAGAAGTCGATGGAAAGTGGCAAAACGTGGCAAAACTTATTCCCTGATATGACAAATATCTCAATTCCGGTGGTGACTATGTTGAGAAGTAGCTTAAGTGTTTACATATATTTGTATATAATAAAATTTGGTTTTCTCATTGCTTGTTTTGTTAACTGCTAAATGGACTTTACTTTTCAAATTGGATAACTTGCATGAACATTCCTGCTTGCTCATAAATGCCCACCTGTGACTCCCAAGTCTGTGATGATCGCCAAAGGAGAAGTCTGGTTTCATGAAGTGTAACAGTGCCTGTAGTTGAGTGCTTAACCTGCTTATCATTTCTGATTGATCCAGAGGATTGATATTGGAGTTGTTTCCTTGTTCAGCCATGTGCTCCAGTACCAATAATGGTGTGAATCTAGACACAGCTGCTGCTAAGCTGTAACACACAGTTCATTAGCTGTGGCCAACTGCGGCCATTAAATCAGTGATTTTCAGACTTTCTGAGTTTGAGAACCACTTAGCAACAATCTACACATTCAAGGACCCAACATCCCAACAACATAGAAACATACTGCATACTCAAGGGACCATCATCCATCCCCGTGGACACCCTAATAACATACTGAACACTCAGCAACCCCTCATCCCAAACCACACACACTCTAACAACATACTGTGTACTTAGGGATAACATATTCCCTCTCGCCGACAACTTAGCAACATATTACACACTGATCGACCCTGTATCCCTCCCCCACACACTCTCTAGCAACACACTGTATACTCAGGGACCACTCATTCCTTCTAACAGACACCTTAGATCCCATTGCACGCTGATGGACCTTGCACACACTATAGCAACACGTTGCAAACTCAAGACTGCTTCATGCATTCCCTCAAGACCACTTCATGCATTCCTGGAAACACATTGCAAAACACTACACTCTCAGACATGTCTCATCGCTCCTTGCACACACTCCTCCAGCAAAATATTGCACACTCAGGGACCCATCGCTCCTCCTCGTTTAAATTGCCTCCCTCTCTTCTTGAAACAGGTTCACATTAAATGATTTGCTTTGATGCTTGCACCATGTTTCCAAAAGATTCGATACCTCTTACAATGTATTTTCTTACCTCGAGTCTGAATTAGGATGCTCAGTTGAGTTGAAACATTAGAATTCTTAGTGTCTTAACAATTCCACTTTTTTGTGTTCAGTAAGAAGCGCTTACTAAAAAATTATTACAGAGAGTAGATAATGAAAAGTTCAGTCCAGTGTGACATACGAGTTTATAACACTTCAGTCCTCATTCGCCTTACATGTTTCGATTCAAAAGAATCATCTTCAGAGGCGCGCCACTACGATAAGGAAACACTGTTACATAAGATATAACAATATGCACTTTAGATATGACTAATGCATATCTGAATGTGTTAAAATTATTTTGAAGCAGCGATGGATCACCATGATCATTTCATAATATTACCTGGTGGACTCGCCTAGGCCCAGGCCTGGTTGATGTAACTGGGAAGTGACAGGGAGTGCCAAACCTCCAGCAATAAGTAATGTTCCCTGTTCTGACCCTGGTACCACTGAACGTGGTACATCCAGATGTAATACTTGAGAGAAGCCAGCTTCATCATTATAATTCCACATCCTGTATAAATGATCATAATAGTGCTTCTGAACAGATGTTGGTAATGACAGATATATTTATTAAGGAAATTTGCGCTCTAGAAGTTAAATGTTGGAAGTTCAAGGTCCTCTGGATTGTGACACCGTGTTTAATCTTGTATGTACATGCTGCCTATGGGATTTGAGGTTCTCACAGCGGTGGTTACAAAGAGTTCTATCTCCTGGGATATAACACCATATTGTCTGTTAAAAGTCAACCAACATTTCAGAGGAACATGTCACTTCCATCTTCAGGGACAAAGAATAAGCCAAGCAAGTAACTAGCATGCTTGCCACCTACTTTCAAGCTGGTTTCTTGCTTGGCTTATTCTCTGACCCTGAATACAGAGGCGATATGTTCCTCCAAAACTTCGATTGACTTTGAATGGAATATATGACGTTATATCCCAGAAAAAAGAACTCTACATGCTGCATCTACGTTAGGGTGATGAACTGATTGAGTATATTGGCAGCAGGTCATCATGAAGATGGTCTCTCAGAACCACAGAATGAGGGTAGAGCCCAATAGGAGTGGCAAGTAGAAAAATGGCCCAGATCAAGTTTCTCCCATCCCCCTCCTATTATTATGGGTGGTCACCTTCATCATAACCAGCCTCCATAGCCTGATTTCTCTTCCTACAAACTGTGACTCTGAGAATGGAGGAAACATGTTTCTTCAGAATGTTGGTATTCACAGTGTTACAACACAGAGGACCACAATATGAACTACCACTACTAGTTTCTCATATAGATATTATACATTAAATTAATTTTGTATAAGAAGATTTCTGATGAGCCTACTTCAAGTTATTTTATACATACTGGCATGTAAGGTGACTATAAGCACACATGATATTTCTACATGATTCTGTTATAACATCATGCCAGTTGTTTTGTATGGGTGCAAAATCTGGTTCTTTCTTTGAGAAAAGAACATAAATTATGATTTCTTGAAAAGAAAGCACATAAGCTGTATTCGAATCTAAGAAGAACTGTAGAAAGTGGACAATTTGTTATAGACGGGGTGGGCATCCAACTGGAGGGAGACAAGGAATACATACAAAATTCCAGTTGGGTAATCTCTTGAGAGAAGCCATTGTGAACACCAAGAATCGAATGGGAAGCTAAAATTAAGATGGAACACAGATGAATACATGTAGGTTGTAGAGATTGGAGGCGAATACCTTCAAATCCATCGAATGTGAGCATCCTCTAATATAATTCAATGCTAAGTGAACGTAAATTTGTCCCTGTCCTTAACTAATTAATCATTATGCAACATATTCTTGACCTAAGCACTAGTTTGAGATGAGTGGCCAGTTTTATTCCCTGGCTGCTTTATCCTTGGGGAAATTGCCCCTGGTGCCCCAGAACCAGTCTGGATGATGTGGAGAAGAGAACTATCTTGCTCTACCAGGACTCGAACTCCGACCCCTTCGCGATCTAGTCTGTAGTCAGTTGCTATACCAATGACACTATCCTGGCTCACATTCAATGCTAAATACAGGATGATATATCTTCATTAACAAATCTATAGACCGTCCACCATTTACTCTGAAGAAGAAATCGGTAAGTCTTAGACTGTATATGGCATTTCCCTTTTTAGAAACTGTATTACTGATCCAGCTGCTCAGTAATTGTGAAATGTGAACATATCAGGTAAAAACAGTCTACAATCCTTGGACCCAGTAAAGCCTGCCTGTGCCAGACTGAATACTGTAGAAAAGACTTCCATTGAAAGAGAAATTATGGCCATATATTTTATCCAAACAACATTCATGATATGTATATATTTTATGTATGTCATTTAATGCTGCGGAATTGGTTGCTATGGTTATGTATCACTGAATTACAGGTGTAATGATGTGAGAGCAACTTGAGATACTGGCTTGACATCTGAATTCTGGACTCGAGGAAAATCATAATAATCTCAGACAAGATAGCTTATTTTGGCTAAGATTCAAACTTATTACATTCTTATTATATAATATATATGAAAATCTTTAATCTATTAATGCTGTAAATCGTTTTCCTTGTCAGAACTGTATTGTTCTTAGTGTTACTGAGAAATGCTCCAACTCACAAATTACTCACACTGAAAGGCTACATTATAATTTTTGTAAAATTATTATGGAACGGTACAGAGATTGATATTTCTATTACTTTCAGCTACATAGAACACTCAAAAGGAGTTTAAATTTTTAAGAAAAATATTTTTTTCCAAATTGGTAATACTGACTATGATAAGCTAACCTGAATTCTGCCATATGCCCCCAGCCAGATGCAAATCCGATGTGCTGTACTTTGAGTTTCTTGTCCATACGCCACTTCAGAAGAGTATTATTGTGAAGGAGAGGTCCCTTACCCACAGCAACTGTGCCACGGTCCCATGTCACCCACAAAGTCTGGAATGAAGTTTCAGACAATAGGTGTGGTGTCTGGGCACTAACAAGGCGCACACCAAAACCTAAAACAGAAATAAAATCCAAAATTAATTCCAAAATATGTAATAGATCAAAATTATGCCCAGTATTAATAATTTAATATGAGATAAAGATAATTAAGGAACTGTGACATAAATATTATATTTTAAACCAGCGTTAACATATGCAGCAGAATAATGCAATGGAATTGAAAAAGTAAAACGACCATAGCAAAGAAGAACAATAAATATGGCCTTAAAATCAGCAGCGTGTTAGTAGGAGTGACAAATAATAGCGTGTAATTGTTTGGGAAAGTTTAATGAGTAGAAGAGTATGGATTGCTGGTATCAGTAAAAATGTAATAATTCAGAATAGTCATAGGGACAAACTAAGGTGTCACTGGTTAATTTAAAGTGGATACTGAGAAAAAGAACTGCAGCATGGACGAATTTAATGAATGAAAAGATATGGTAGGACAATGATAAGTGGAATAATTTATTGACTCATGTGTTAGTTTCATGAGTGTATTTTGTGAATACTTTAAAATTTCCATATTTGTATTGCCATAGCCTGGAGACTTTCTAGTCTTGGAAGCTTTTAAAATAAATTAAAGTTCTCCTGTTAACAGTGAACTTATACATACATACATACATACATATATTCTTAAACGCCTGTCTCTACTTTGATCTCTTCATAGTCACAACTCTTTGAAGTATGTAAGTCATGTTGTTTCTGAGAGGATGGATTTCAGTTTTATTATACCTTGCTCACTTTGTTTAACCATTTTATTTTTCCATCTGTTCAATATAACAGTAAAAACTTTCATACAAAGTGGCTAGAATACTTAGAAATTCACTACTGCCTGAAAACAAAATACTAAAACTGTTATATCAATGTAAATCATAACCAGGGATATTTAATAAAAATATGGAAAGAATAGCTTTAACCTTTTTTAACCAGAACAAGCCAAGAGCTTCAACCATGATGTTGATGATTATTACTTTATAAAAATATTCTTTCCTAACACAAACATTGTCCATAAAATAAATTGCATACGAAAGTAGTAACACTGGACCTTTGTGATGATATGATTTACAGAAACTTATGACTCACCATGCTTGCCTCGTCCAATCCATGACATGGTGTTGCCTGCATCACCCAGTACAATTTGATACATTCGATCAGATGTGTAGCGTAAATCTGAAAGTGCTATATGTGCTCCCTCTTTAACTTTCACTTCAAACACGACCCCAGCACGATTTCTTGGAGCTGACACAAACTCATAACGGAAGTTTTCTGATGTAGATATAACTACATTTTCTGTAATGTATGATAATTGAAAACAGTGAGAATCAACAAATAAATTTACTATTGAAGTTTACTGATTTATTACGTCTGTAGAAATATAAACTGATGCCAAATGAAAGAGTTGCTGCAAGTAGTAAATTACACACCATTTGCACAGAAGTAGGCACTCTCTGTATCTGTGCGTACAATTCCTTCAGGGTGTACCAACACAGCTGCTGAGCGCAAGACAGACCCCACAAGGGAGCTGTTACCTGGTGAATTTCCTGATTCTTGACATGAGTCACTTCCATATCCTGATACTTCCGCTGTCAACACATAAGTAACATTAGAATTTAACATTATATGAAACTTTACTTTTTCTTAATATCTAAAAGTACTGGATCAGGAAAGCCAGGAGCTACTGTCATTATGGACAACGAGGTAAGTGCATATGTGTTGCAGTTCCATAATTTTTTCCAATAACACAATTCACCTCAAATTTTAAAGAGTAACTACTTATGTAAGATTTCAGGCTTTCACGGCGGTGACTATGAAGAAAGCAGTCTTCTGGGATTTGGCACCGTGTATATGTGGTGTTAACCGACGTTTCGGAGGAACGTATCGCCTCCATCTTCAGGGTAGAAGAAAAAGTATAAGAAATCTGCAAGCGACAAGACCGTGAGAACGGTAAAAGCAGACTGGAGTCTGCTAAAAGCAGTCTGCTTTTACCGTTCTCATGGTCTTGTCGCTTGCAGATTTCTTATACTTTTTCTTCTACCCTGAAGATGGAGGCGATACGTTCCTCCGAAACGTCGGTTAACACCACATATACACTGTGCCAAATCCCAGAAGACTGCTTTCTTTCAGTAACTACTTAGATTTTTTACTCTCAATACAATTTCCCACTGTTTGTTTCACTGCATCTGCTTTAAATGATGTTTTTAGAAATGAGGCAGTTCGTAATCTGCAGCACATTCTTACCATTAAAAAAAGTGGATTATCAACTGTCTAGTCAAAAGATATGGAATGCCAACACAATAAAATAAACAAAATGTTCTTAATATCTTAACTTTCTCTTGAAGAGAAAGAAAAGAAAAACACACTTACTGCAGTCCTTCAGACAGCTTATATAGACATACAGGTACAACTCACAGGCCATCTTATTGCACAACAGCTGCCTTTCTTATTTTAATTAATCATATTTGTTTGGAGAGGTTGGTATTTACAGTTGATAGTGATTTTACTTCAAATACCTGATAAAATTAATTTGCTGATCACAGCAGCCACATGGTCTAGGACACGAACTGTTTTTGCTTGTTCGAATGCTGGGATTGTGGGTTCGAACCCCATTCAAGGAATGGATGCTTGTGTTAGTTTATTCTGCGTTTGTGTTATTCTGTGTGTAGGTAGCAGCCTTGTGACGGTCTGATCCCCCATCCAATGAGTCCTACCAACTGTGTATATGATTAAGAAAACGAAAAAGCGGCCAAGGTTCAACAAATGGCTGTAGGGCCATAGATACATAGATAAAATTAATTTTGATTAGACAGAGTTTACAGATATAAAAAGATAAGAGCAGGGAAAAATTCTCCCATCCTAAGCATTTATCATAATAGAGAAGTAATCAATTCTTTTTGATCCACAGTGCTCTTTTTGTTGTAGTATTCGCATTATTACATCCTTAATCACGTTGATCTCCTTCCTCAACAGCCCTACATTCTTTCCTTCTGATCTTTCATCCTTCACAGATGCAAGTTGTAAATTACCATTGAGTTAAGTTTCAGATGTAGGGATGTACTGGAAAGCAGTGGAAGCAAGCTAATATTACCTCAATGGAGTGTGCTGAAGAAGGATGGGGTGAAAGGAAAATAAAAGGGATCTCTATCAAGTTCTCCAGAAAGCACTCTAAGAAGCTCACTCCCTCCTCCATCCCCTTCTTCTGTGAAACTTCGCAATCAATCCTCCTCTCTTTCTTGTTTTGTCCCTAGAGACTCTGGATTCCTTTCATTCTGGTTTTGTTTGGCTTGACAGGTACTAATGACGCTCACCCTCCACCCTTCTACCAGACCAGAAGATAAAGTGTACAGTCATTATCCATCTAAAGTAGCTCCCATTGTGTTTACTTCCTTTTGACACTAAAGGCAAATTTTTTAGTTTCAGCCTAAATCAATTTCAAGAAAGTACACTTAAGTTTCCACAAATAGAAATATAGTGAATTCATTCATGTACTATATGGAACTAACTCCATGAAGAGAGTCTCTCTTCAGAACACAGCAGCCATTCAGCTAGTCAAGAAATTCCCCAGACTGCATGAAACCTGAAAGTTCATTATTGTACATGCATAAATTATCCTGAGTCAGATGCATCAGTCTTTGTTGTACCAAATTTAAATCCGACACTATAGGAGCTCACGGTCTAAATTAAATGGTGACATTTAATTAAAACTGTTTCTAGTTTTCCGTAGCACAAGTTCCTCTAGAATTATAAATGATCACAAATGTCAAATAAAAAAGTATCTTAAAGCAAATAAAATAGACCATGGCATTGCAAAAATGTCATATGTAAAATCTATTGTCTTAAAAATCTCAGTATGAACCTGTTATAAGGTAGGAAAATCAAAGTAACATGTGCCTGTTTCAGTCACATGCCTGTAATGGGGTTCCTATAGTGTTCCCACACTCCAATAGTCTTCTGATAATCCTTAACACACACAACAGTACACAGGCTGATGTGACACGTTTCACATCTCTTTTGTGTTTCCAAACCATGGCTTTTAGGTCACCTGTTCCCTTGACCTGAATGTGAGCAAAAATCTTGTATAATCTGCAACTTCTTTCCTTCCCCCTGCTTCTGTACAACTTGCTACTTTTCCAATTTTGCTCACTTCTACCCTGAAGACGGAGGCAGTATCTGCCTCCAAACCGTTGGTATCTGCCTACCACACTGCATGATGCCATGACCCTGGACAGCTCAATGTGAATGCCCATGAAATTTTTCTTAAGTCTACTGGCATTCCCTTGAAGTGTCTGGTAAGTTGTGTCCCGTCTGCATGATAAGGGCCTTGTAACGAGCACATTTAAGGTACAGTCATGTCAAATGATGGGTAAGGCTCTTTATCATGCGTACCAAAATAATGTTGATAGTACTGCCTGTTGGAGAACTGCTGTAAACTCAGCATGTAAACACTTAGTGGACTTGAGTACTTGTTGATCTGAGTTCTCAAGCAAGATGGTCTGTCAGTAAACGAGTGTTCAACCCTTACTCATTTTTTTTTTTACTTGAGCTTCCTGCTTTGTCCTGAAAGTCCTATCACTAAAATACAAGCAAACACAAGCACACAAATCTTAATATGGCACTTGTATTCGTATGTGCAAAAATCACAACTGAATAATGGGAAAATGGACAACAGACTGAGAAGTTCCTATAGGTGACATCATGTTTCTCTTTGGTACTTGAGAACTATAAGTAAATCAGAGCAAAGATATTCTGTATGAGTTCTTGACTTCTTTCCTGTCATTCATAAGCAATAAACTCAAGATCTCAGAGAGTCGTTCCTTTGTGTCACATCACACGCAAGCACTTCATATACAATCTGTGTTTGGTTCACATTACAGTGACAGTGATGTGAAATGTAATTGTGTGCGTCAGAAATCCACATGAGATTAGAGTCAGCACTGTCTCACTGTTACTTGCAGAAAAAATGCATATAAGATGAGCATTGCTGGAATGGGATAAATAATGGGATAAAAACTTGAGTAAAATGTTTTTTAATATGCCTCACTGGGGTATATTGGGAGAATAAAGTTTAAGTTTATGCTCTACTCTATCATGATCTGTCTGAATAGTCAAGAGTTCATTTTAATATTATCCTCCCATGGATTCTTAGTTCTCCCTACAGGTCTCTTCCCTTCAGATTTTTAAATTGAAATTTGTTATTCTCTCTTTCTCATAGATCCTAACTTTCTTCTTATGCTCTTGTTCTTAAACACCATCAGTCTATATACTTCCCTTAGGATGACGCCCACAAAAGTAGTGGGTAAAATTATAAGTTTTATATTTTCTAATCTGTAAGATTGTTGTCAGAAGGAAAAAAGGTTCCAAACTAAATTGTAACATAAATTCTCCTAATTTAATTACATCTTAACTTCTTTGTGAATGTAATTTTGAATTTTCCAAATCTTTGAACCTTACCACATTTCCAGAGGATCTACTGGCTATATCACATTAATCACGTGAGGCTGACAAATCCTTTGAGAATATGGCAATATATGTATATAAAATAATTCATTGATTATATTTGAATTACATGACATAAATTGCAGTTTTGGGACAAGCCATAATGGTCTAAACATTGAAGGAAATAAGATGATGACAATTGCATTGCAAATCTACCTGTCATATTCTTAAGTCCAGAGCTGGTAACAACCACACGCACAACTAGTGAGGTGGCTCCGTGAGGTCCCAGTCGCAGTTTCTCTGTTACATATAACATGCCATTGCTTAGAAAGTGGGCGCCTTCACTCAGGGCTAGCAAGGCTGTTACCTGCAGGAATGCAAGAAAGCTGGATGTTACAGTACTGAAGTGAAGCACCACACAGCTAAAAATAAGCCTACACATGGAACTATAAATGTTCATGTTGAACAGTGACACAATAGCATGAAACTGATATGTGAATAATAAATACAGAAAAAGAGTAAAGGTCTGAAATTTATTTTTTGTTTTTGTCTTCAACTCAAGATCTCTTTCTCCTAGATTAATATTTATGACAGTAAGCACTGAGTTATGAAATGTATTTGACTAGGATTTAGGAGTACTGTGGGTTTCTTAAGACACTGAAAGAATTTTGTGTACTGATTTTGGAAAGTAAAACACCTTGAACACAATACTTGTAAACTTTGTCCAGAGTAGTAAGGAATTTCTTCATAATTATTTTNTAAACTAACCAGAAGGCAGAGGAGAAAACATTTACACGTACTATCAAAATGACCTAAAGAAGTGCACAACTGAAAACAGAAATGCTGAATATTTCCATGGTGCACAAGTTATTAGTCCATGATTTTGAAAACAGTTATTTATAGAAGGGTGCAATGATGTGTTAAGTGCTAATAAGATTAAAGTGAACATAAATTTCAGATAGATACTATAGGGTTCTGATGATGGTGTATAACACACAAAGACACTGGGTTTTCGGACTTTGTCCATTGTCCGAAAACCCAGTATCTCTGTGTATAAATTTCAGAACTTAATGTGTACATGTCTTTTTGGATTATTATATCCTTAAGTACAATACTCATAATGCCATTATTTGACTGATACAATTAAAGTTGCAGTAGTATATCACTGATCTTTTTCATTCTGTCTTCAATAATTCACTGACATGTAATCAAAGAGATTACTTGAAAGGAAAACACTTTAGTTTATTGTGGAACCTAGTGTATAATTAAAAATAGTCAAGATTTTAGTACAAGGAGTTTGGTCTTTTAGTCGTTAGAAGCAGCAAATATTCTGTCAAACCCTTGTTTGCTGTGAAAACACTCAATTTTTTTTACTCTGACCTTGGAGACATCAGTTAATAGTCCTTTGATGAATAAGCCATGCATTTGTGTTCATATTTTTCAAGACATAATAAATGTTAAAACATAACTGTGTTGAGCTATCCATTGCTTGATGTGTGACTGCCTGACTGCTGGTCCAGCTCCATGTATTTCTTTACCCTGTCATCTCCTTTGTGGATAAGACCTGGTCCGTCCCGTATTTTATGTTTCTCATTTCAGGAAGGGTACAGTGTTTTGAACTTTGTAACTGAGGTAAGACTACTTTGGTATAGCATTGTGCGAGTGAGGGAATAAACAAAAATCTTAACTGAGGTTCCTCTGCGGGTGTACTGTACTTCTGTATGAAGTGACTGAACATCACACATCCATGATTTGACAGGATTAAATTAAAGAAGGTAATGTGTACAATATGCGAAGATAAAGGCAGATCAGGGCCAATACTCAGACATATACTTGCAGAAACTCACATCCATGCAAGAGTTGATATTGTTGCCAATCTTGACATCCACTTCCACAGCTTCTCCAACTCGAAGGCTTGCTGGCATTTTGAACTCCACTTGCAAGGGACGGAACACAGTGACAGATTGTGGAGATGAGAATCTCAGCCCCACACTGGGTGAGAGAGTAAGGGCCCATAGAGACCACTTTCCTGGCTCCTCAGGAGCTGATATTGTGAGACTGTGCTTTTCCATATCTCCACTGCAACAACCACTTGAATAAGTAAACATTTTGACTGGTCCCTGTGAACAAAGTTTTGTTGCCACTATCAGCCTCATGGATTAGATATTCATACAGCCCTTGGGTTTTTCGTGGTACATATCAGATATTATCAGACCAGATCAAGGAGAATGAGGTGGATGGGGCTTACAGCATAAATTGGAGAAACAAATATAAAATTTTGGTCATAAATCATGCAGGAAAGAGATCACTTGGGAGTACCAGCTGTAGATGAAAGGAACAATATTAATCTTCAGAAAATGGTGTGTGTGTGTGTGTGTGTGTGTGTGAGTGGGTGGAGAGAGATAATCTGGCTGAAGATAGGATCTAGTGGCAGGGTCTTCTGAATATGGTTATGAAACTTTAGGTACCTTAAAAGATAGGACTTTTTTTGTGACCAGCTGAGCAACTATTAGTTTCTCAAGGAGGATTCTACTCAGTGAACTTTGTTAGTTATTTCATGGCTATACCCAGTAATTTCATATGCTAGAGATGGTTTGGCGAAACCCTTATAAATTTCCCGCAATACTTAGCACACATTAGGGAGTGAATAATAATGTTATCTAACTTATCTGTTAGACTACACGGTATCATAACACAGAAGACCATAATTTTAAAATATGACATTAGACTGAGCATTAGAATACCAGTTGGTTTTACAGCAGAGTAAGTGACGTACCCTCTGATATGAAGGTATAAAATATATTTACACAAACATATATAACATAAGTAAATATTAAATAAAGCAACAATTAAAAAATAAAATTATCTATCTAATATTTATTTATATGACAAAGGTTCTTGTAAATAAAGACTTCGCTGAAGGGAATGAATCACTTAGTACTTTACTTTTGAACATCTCACTATTCTATCAGCTCAATTTAGTGTCATTACTAGATTTATTAGAGTACGTTTACTTTAACCACATATCACAGTACCTCCAACAGAAAATTATAATGGACTTTCATGATTTTAATACTTAATAATTACTGATCATGCTACATCACTATTTGCAGCAGTGTTTTATAATGCACACTCCCAATGCTGTAGTCAACTGCCTAAGATGGAAATTAAAATGTAAAGCTGAATGGCTAAGGACTGAAGAAATCAATATATATTAAATGAAATATGACTTTCAAGTTCCCACCAGAAAAATATTTAAATTGATATAAGGACAGGAATAAAATTCTTCTAAGAAGAAATTATTTAATGGCCTCTGCTTTCTTGAAGATGCAACATGCCTTGATCTGATCACAAATCCATAGAGCACTTATATCTGAAAATGAGTTTTTATTTAGTAAAGAAGACAAGGAAGGAGGAAGAAAAAGAGGAGAATAAATTGGTGATAGATAAATGGACAGCGTGTGAAAGAAAGCAGAACATTTAGAATGGCAGTCACTTTTTATAGCTGTTATCACAGATCTTCCAGAGAGAGAGAGAGAGAGGGAGGAAGGACTGGGGGAACTTGTGATTACGCTGTTAAATGGGTGCAGGGGAAAGTTATGGAGCCACATTATTCTTCATTCTACCAACTGCCTTTTCCCACCAGACATTCAGGGCATTCTCTTGCATTACCTTGTTCTACACATCACATTGCAGGTAAAGGTTTGGAGGTGCCTCTGGATCTCCTGCTTATTTTTAAAAGAGTAATTCCTTTCACTTCTTCTTCCCATTGGGACAAGCTGGTTGATTGCCTTCATAATTTTACTTTGAACATAACTATAAACTAACTCAATGGAGCAGAATCAATCTTGAGAAACTAATAGTGTTCAGAGAGACAAAAAATTTGCTGCCTTTTTACAGAACCTGAAGGTCCGTTACCATATTCACAAAAGCTGCCATTGGATCCTATTTTGAACCAGATAAATAAAGCCCAGACTAAAATGCTCTATCTTTTTAAAGTCCATTTTAATACTATTCTCCCCTCTATACTCAGACCTCCTAAGTAACCTCTTCCCTTCAGGTGTCTGACTGAAACTTCACGTGCATTTCATATCTCCTCCACCCAAATGCGTGCTTCATGCACTGCCCATCCAATCCTCCTTCATTTGATCACAGATCATGAAGCACATCATTATCCAGTTCTCTCCATCTGCCTATTATTTACTCTGTTTTAAGTCTAAATATTTTCTCCAGCACTTCCTTCTCCAACACATACTGCACTTCAGAATATACCATGATTTTTAATCAATGCACAAAATTCATCAATTTTTCAGTTTTCATTTGACATATGTATTTACAAGATACATGTTATTTAAACCACTTAAAACTTGAATCAAGCTGGGGAAATGCAAAAAGAGGTTATACATGATCTTCAGTGATTCTAATTTGCTTTAGAATAACCCTACAATGACAAAATAAGCCTGTATTAATCTGAACTGAGCTGCTTCAAGAGGGTGAGATCACATTTTCAAGCTCTGGTCTTGAAAATTGCAATACTCCCAATAGAAAACAGCCATTACAATCTGTATTCAGACTAAGATTCTTGTTCTGAAAATTCTACATACGTGAAATTGAAGCACTCCCAAAGCCACAGCTGGTCAATAGTGGTACCTCCTACTACACTACTATGTCGCTCCTGTACTGTTCTGCTATTAGCAGCTGATCCACCCTGACAGTACAGCTGAGTGCTGGATTCAGACCTTGGGCCTCCCTTCTTAACACATCGTCGCTGGAAGAATGCCATTCCTGCTGCAGCGAAATCCAGTTCTATAGAACCAGAACCCCTGTGTCTGCTGGACAAAATATAACAGTAGCATGACAGAAATGTAAAGTGTATTAGAAATCATGAACATTAATTGTAAGCAAGAAACAGAAATGTTAAATTAATACCACATGATTGTTATACCACTGTCATCACCATCACCACACAAGTATACCACAAGACCATATCCTGAAACAGGCCATTGCAATTTAAATTCTCACAATTTATTAGGTGCTAGTTCTATTAATTTCCTGCCCTCACAAACTATTTCCTTGAGATCCATCTTAATGTTATTTCTGTATGTCTTTCTCAAAACATCCAATTGGCTGCTCACAAAATGTCCTGCCATCAAAACTATTTTCTATGTATTCCTTGGCTTCCAAATCTGAAATGTATGTCACGTCCACTGTAACCTCTTTGGCTTCACTATCTTAACAATATTAGCAGATTTGGAAAAAAGGGTTCTGCTCAATGAATGGATTTATACTAGAAAACAGTGGTATCTACAGCTGAATGCCATAGGAGGATTCTGTTGCAGCTGTACAGTATGTGTGACTTCTGGAGTATATTTTTCCATGCATTTAATATGTCATGAATATCTGCCATTTTAAGAATTTGACACAGTTATGCCATTAAATAAACTTTTTCACAATTTTTTTTTGTGCTGCATATTTCTAAACATATTAACAATATGTTTTTTTCATATCATTATGACTTGCTTTAAGTCATGTTAAAAAGATAATGACTGAACAGCCTGCTGTACTGGAGTGACTACACTTACCTAGATTTAGAGTTTTGTGTCTCTGCAGTGCCCTTCCCCTCGGGACCTGCATGTCCACCAATGAGACACACCAGTGCACCAGGTTCTGCCTGCATATCCACAGCCATTGTCTGGGCAGGGTACCAATACTTACGCTCCTCCACATGAACTGAAACCTGTAAATAAAAGAAACTCACTACAGCCATTGTTCTGGAATCTACTGAATAAAAAGTAAATTGAAATGTAGTGATTGATTATTCCTTAATTACAGTTTTTGTTCTCCTATTGTTTTCTTTTTTATCTGTGTTTCCCAAGGTTGTAGAAAAGTGATTCACCTTCTAACCGTCCTTTGGTCCATGTGTTGCGGGTTGCAGCTTCTCCTCTAGCCGTTTCCTCTCACCTGTTGGTACTCCAAGTTTGCAGGTTGCTGCTGCGTCCTTCTTATCCAGTTCTTCTTCCCCTTTTTGTTGTTGTTGTGGATATTGGTTGTTTGTGGGAAATGGGTTATGTGAATGCTGGGCACCAGTAAACTTACTACAAAGGATAACTATTTGGGGAAAAAGGGGGGATGAACCAGAAGCTACAGGTGATTGGTACTGCATTCGCAATAGGGCAATGAGATTCTGTCTCAAGGTGCATACAGGCCTCGCATTAGCGGGAAAGATAAGAGTGTTTATAGCTATGCACTACACAACACTGTTTAATGAGCACTTTTTGATCTTCAGTTAATAACATTTGTCCTTAATCACTTAAACCAAACTTGAAATCACTCAAATTTTTGCAACTGGATCCCTGGCTAGTTATTTAGCGACTCCTTTTTAGTACAACACGTAGAAGTGATTATACTTTCTCTTAAACTTTTAAGCCAAATTAAGTTTCACACTAACCTTTTTTTTTTTTGTCTAATTAATTTTGCCGAGATATTCAGAGACTGTTCCAGTAACACAAAATCATTTTGTTCATAACTTTGACTTTTGAACCAAACTGCCAGTAATGCTAATTTTTCGGCTGTATCCTTGGAGAGTTGTTCAGAGACTACTTTAGCAGACTGACTCTGCTTTGAAGCAAGAAATCTTCACTGCTTCAGTTCCGCCTCCAAGTTACTACCCTAATTTCGGCTGATTGAAACAATTCGAATTTAGGCAGTTTACCCTAATTCTCACTGCTACAATCATCTAGCTGTAGTTTGGGACTTTGGACCTTTAAGTCCTAGCATCGTTTTTGACAGCTGCTTGAAAAATTATACCAGTAGCGTACGTTGAGGGCCTTCCCACTTTTGGCTTACGGGGTTCAAAACCTGTCAAGTGTAACATTACCAATGGATCCCGCTGGTCAACTTTCGAACTGAATTTCCAGGAAAACTCTGTGGGGTGCTTCCTGCCTGGTCTTTGTAGAAGTAAAGCAGGCCTTATTCTTGAAACCAAGAATTGGGATAAGTCACCCTTGAATGTTCCTTACTACATCCTATGCGCAATTACTATAAAAAGAAATCTTGATTACATATAAAGCTGGTGGTGTCAGTGGTACGGCTACAACCTACATGTGGTACTCTCATACATACAAGTTCTAACAGTTAACGTAAGTTTTATTGGTAACATGTTGTACTGTTGTAACGTCATATGTGCGGTCTGTTGGTTGAGCATCATATTTTTTCAATACTGCAGGGTCCACCAAAAATTCGGTACTAAACTCTGAAGTATCAGTTGGTATAGTTTAACAAAGAGTGAACATTCAAGTGTTCCATTCAAACTTATGTTAAGACTGATTTATTATGAAAGACTTACTGTGCTTCTTGACTTTCATCTTGCTACCACAGAAGCAGGACCACAATTGCAATTGGTTGTCAGTTATAATGGTACCATATTACTATTAATTATAAGTAAAACAGTTATACAATAATTGGAAAAGTAAATAATGTGTTTGACAGCAAACAGCTAACTACGGCAGTGTATCATATACAGATGGACAATATACATACCCAGTTAGAAAAAATTCCTTTGTGCAGGATTATCTTGAATAGTTAATATTATTAAAATGGTTAAGAAATTCCCTATCCTGAGCCTGCTGAAACCAGTCCACACCATTCTCTCTCTAAAAAGAATTTTAATATTATTTTTTCATTTATACCTAGTCTTACATGTGTCTCTTATCTTGAGGAATCCCAAACAAAATTTTGTATACATTTCTAATTTCTCCCATACATGTGCTACATGTTATGATTATTTCATCAGAATTTCATCACCCTAACAATATCAGGGAGAATTAAAATTATATAGCTCTTTGCTTTGTAATTGTTTCCAGTCTTTCTAATTAAAATTGTCCTTAGCATTTTGTTCTCAAACGCCCTCAATCTATGCTTTTCCCTATATTTCAGGACATGTTCCACACCCAGAAACTGCAGAAAAATATTGTTAGTTAAATTATGATTAATATTCTAAGAACCTTGAGCTCATTTAATTAGATTCTGTCAGTTCTTCACATCACTGTGTGTTCATACTGTAAAATTCTCCTCCTGTTATCAGTCAATTTTGTTCTGAAGACCTTATCTCCACTTCCCTGTATTCAATAGGTCTGGAAAGAAGCCAGTTTGTATATGCAAAGCCTGATGGAAGCCACCAGAATATTTTCTGGAGGGGGCAGAAAATTTGTTTTCAAACTTCTCTTTAAGACTATCTTTACTGACCAACCTAGAGTATGCAGGAAGAAGAATATTTTAAAAATGCTGTCAATTTTGGTAATAAAATGTGATATGTTCCGTTATTTTTAAAATTTTTATTTTTTACAAAAATCCAAAAGGGGAGGGGGCAGGCTTCTGGTTTGCATTTCTGCTGCTGGTGCCCATGCAGAGTCTAGACACTTACAGACTGGAAAATTTGGAAGAGAAATCAACAATATGAATGGATAGTCAACTTGTGTTTTACCTGCTTGTGGAGAAGTCTGACATCAAAAGTGATGACATCACTGATTGGTTCCCCAGTGTCAGTCACATAATACACCAGCAAGTGGCTCACAGGAGCCATAACAGCCTGAACAATGAAACTGGAACAGATAAAGAAAAGAACGTTACATTTAAATTTATTTCACATGGTTCCTTTTTTAATTATCCTTCAGTTTAAAGCAGCTATAATGGGCAACTTTTATAAACTATTTCTGCATGACTACATTAATTAATAACAAACACAAAAATTTAAATAAATAAACATGTAACTAAACACATTAACAGCTGGCTGCATAATTTAAATTCACTGTATCCTGATGTTATCAGATCTGTTAATTTAAAAGCCCTTCATTCTGTGCTTTAGCATATTCCATGCAGTTTCAAGGAATACATAATTTTATTATGTATTATTATGACGCAAAAAGTCAATAAAAACGTGAGGAGAAGACTAGGAGGTTGGTGTGAAATGGCCACCAGCCTGGGAGTTAGTTGTCAGTTGTGAGTTGAGTTCTGCATGGGAGGTTGTGAAGATTGAGCCTGAGAATATGAAGCTGAAGAATCTCCAGGGTTAGAAGCAGTTGCCAGAAGATGGCTAGTGAAGACACAGCAAGCTTGGAAAGGTTTAGTGGGTGCTGTGATGATTTGTGAATTATGGAGTGCAGTGATAGAATTGTAAGTGCTTGTACTTCCGAGTCTTGTGTATAAGTGGTCAATAAATCCGTTCACCAATCCAAATCCTGTCTATAGTCATATACAAACACGTGACAGCATATAAAATGTCATTTACTGTTCACAGTGTCAGCAATGGATTTGAAAGGAAAAAGTGAGAGAGAATATTAATGAATAAATTCAAGGATTCTTCCACTTAAAATATCTGGTGTTTTACTCATCATGGAGTGGGTTTGTTGAGCCCTGACCATAATGTATGGTATTTACACCTCATGTATGGGGAAAAAAAATTGTTCCACACAGTAGTTAAAGTTGAAGTGTTTCACTTAATGTAAGGTGAGTGTTGCAGGGAAATGCAGTTCTTCATTGTCGTCTAAGGGAACAGAACTATATACTGACTCTCTTTTGTTGAAGATATATTTTGCATAAGTCGAAGTTGTCATATTATGGCTACTGAATTTTGGAACTCCAAATGAAACAGTCAAATTTCTAGTGAGTGTTAACTGACGATAAAATCCTAAGTTAACAAAACTAACTAAAGAAGTAGGTCTAAATAAATAAATACAATTACAAAGGTAATGGAGAATATGACTTGAACTTTCTTCGTTTTCCACTCAATTAGCACGTGTGAGTGCATGAGAGCATCGGCATACAGAAACAAGCACTTTGCAGCTTTTTCTGGTTAAAATGGTTTATATAAATTTTAGAACTTAAAGCTGAACTTGTGGTAATAATGTTTGTATGCTGAATATATAATATGGCAAGAAGGTGGGGGCAAGTAGAATATCAGTCATGGAGAGAAGAAGGGTGACGAAGAACAAATTTCGAAGTTTGTAAAGTTTAAATTGACTTTTCACCTTCCCTCCTCCTTCTCCTGCAACCCCTGCATTCCCTTTAATCTTACAGCTTGGGCTCTTCACCAGGTTTTAATGACCTGGAAATACTGTTTCTTGGCCATGCTTCTCCTTCCATTCCTCCCCTCCACTATTTTTGCTACATTACTGCTGGGGAGAGGAAGGGGAGAACCTTCTCATGGGAGACAAAAGTCAATTTCACAGTCCAATGGAACTTAAACTTCATTAAGCACAGATCAGAATGAATGCGATTACATGACACAGTTCTTGCTGTTATGGTCTCCAGAGTCCTGTATCAGGGTAAGGTACCACTCCATTCGAGTGAAATCGTCTACAGCCATGAAATTCTGAACATGTTCATCTTCTTCCTCTATCTTGCTGCCTAACCACTAATTCAAAGAGAAGAAAATAAAATTATGATCCTTTATTCTTGCAGTTTTTTGTCCTTATCTACATACCAGATATGCTGGAATGTTTATCTTTTGTAGTGAGAAGATGTCTAATAATTTGAAAAATCATAATTATCCACACTACATATTTCATTATAGGTAGAAATTACTTTGATTTGTGTACATCCACAACAAGAAATGACAGATTTTACACTTTATTTTCTGAACCTATTCATGGTAGGAATCATACTGTCATATAAATCTTCAGTGAGCTATACTTTCTGGCGTGTAATGCCATGTAGTCCATTGAAAGTCAACAGGTGTTTTGGAGGAAAATGTCACCTGGATATTCAGGTCTTAAGAGTAAGTCAAGGGAAAAACCAGCATGAAGCAGGCAGTGAGGCAGAGTTTCTGCTTCATGCTGGATTCTTGTTTGACTTGCCTTTGACATCTGAAGATGGAGGTCATGTGTTCTTCTGAAAACTACATCATGTTATATCCTAAAGATTGAACTCTTAGTATTTTCACATAATAGAGTGATTATTGATGGGGTTTGGATTGGTAAATGGATTTATTTAACTCCTACAGATCTGTGACTACAAGTAATAATTTCACTACTTCATGCACCTTATTGTTCACTAGAGCACATACTCGTATATAAGTCTTCTCAGCCTGCTATGTCTTCACCAGTCTTCTAGTAGTGGCTTTCATTGGCGGATTGTCCCCTTACGCTGGGTTCCCAAACTGACCCCAGCCCCAGCTATAGCAGCTCTCAACTAAGTGAAAACTGTCAGAGACTCAGAGTTACTCTATTACTGGCAGTTTACCACCAATCAGTTCATCTTGGCGCCAAGCCCCCTGATGATCAAGGCTAGAGATTTTCTTTTTGCAATTGAATTCTTGTGGTCATAGTCCTTATCTAACATCCTCTATGATGAGGGGATGGCTTTGTCTCTTATGAACAGGCTTTTGCCTTTGTCAAATGTACATATCACACATATAGCATGTTACTGAAAATTCTTCCTTGCGCACTACATACAAGTCCTTTGTCAGGCCAGGCTTTGCAAAGCAGATCATATCTACCTTACTTGTTTCAGCCTGCAACAGCAGTTTATTTACTTGAACTGTAAGCTTGCCTGCTGCCAAGTTCAAGCCTCTTATATTTTTCTATATCTGGCTTTGCCTTGTCCTATGCTGCGAACATATGATTTTATATGACTTCTGCTTGTTGCCTGCAAAATTTTATTACNCAAAATGTAGATGCTTTGAGTGTACTTTGGGTATAAAGCCATATCTAAAGCTTTGATTCTGCAGGAAATGCTTCACCAGAGTTCAAAACTCATACCAACAGGAGTGCCAACTTCAGATCTTAACAAAATTGATGAGGTCCTCGATTTTTCAGCTACTTAAATATGGTATTAATGCATTCTGAATTATTTCATGATCCCACATTTAAGTTAACGTTTTGAGGCATGAAGTTAATTTAAATAATATTTTTAAGAAAGTAATTACTACCTCACAGAAATCACAGTACATCTCCATTACAAACATCAAGCGATTAAAGTTGCGTAGGGAAATAATCATTCTTAATTTTGAGAATCCGCTGTATGGGCAGAATGCAGAGTTGTTCAGTGCTAAAGCAGATGGTTAATATAATGAACACTGTACTTTAAAGAGTGCTGATTGAGTAAGTATTGTTTTGGGAAGGAAAGTTAAGAAGAATGTAGTAAAGTATGACCATATCAGCAACTGAACTCATGATAGTGTGACATAAAGTCCAGAACCCATACTCTTTAGAATGTGGGGGGATAAAATATCGAGAGAACTTTAATTTATTATGCAGCGAAATCACAAATCCTATTTCTGACAGTAGTGTCACGTGATAGTAACTAGATAATGGGTTCAGGTGAGAACTGGATCTGTTTCGCACTCATTCCTCTTATCTAGAAATGGTAAATGGTTACAACGGTTTAGAAGTATTCACAGGGTTTCACAGTCCATTTGACCATTCTTGCTTGATTCTTTTTTGGATCATCATCATCATCATTATTATGGTAATCCAGTAACTAGAAGTGGCATCATGCAATGAAAGCCATGACTAACTTGGCATGCTTCTTTATATTGCACTATTGCTGCAGACTGCCAAGGCAACACTGAGCCCATAGCACCATGACTGTTGCAGCTGGAAGGGATTCGTGCTTTTACTGCCTAGTAAATAAACGTTTTTTGGTACTTCTGCAGTCCCCACGTTTCAAAGTTTATGGGTCACATTATTTATAGATGATAAAGTCATTCTTTGAACTGAATTCTGTTGAGAGTGACTTCTGTTTCCATATTTATTTGGAACAACACAGTGGGATTTTAAACTGTAAAAAGTATGAACATTATTTTTAAAGAAACTGAAGTTAAAGTTCAGAATTTAACATGTCTGTAGTACAAGCTTTAAGAGGAAAAATATTTATGCACTTATTTCAAATAGATTTCTAAATATAAATGAAAATATAAATAATTTTTGTTCTAAACACAACTGTATAGTCAAATATTACTCCGTAAAACATCCAAATGATTCACCTGAAATTATGTCTACAGATGGCAGCACCATCAATAATTTGTGCTGGAGGTGCTTCATCCAAAGAGTCCGGTCTTAGGGCTTGGCTCCAGTATGTGATATGGCCTTCAGTAGTGACAACATAATGCAAGTCTCGTTCACAAGGGCATGTTGAAAGTACAGTCACATGAGCCTCTTCATCTGGCTGCAACAGTAAAATCAGCATCATGCAAATGCCATTTCTAAGTGCAGGTAAAGGCAAAGTTGTCTCTATGTTTAATTAATTAAGCACCACATAATGGGATGTATAGGGGAGTGGAGATACAGATTAGTGTATGTTTAACCTCAACAATTTATGGAAGTGTGGCCAAATTCATGCTTGGACCACTTACCCCCATGGAAAGAAGCTCTGGTGTCAATTGGAGGGGAAGATGGGTGAACCACAGAGCCATACTGAATGCTGTGGAGAAGAGAAAAGTCAGTACTAAAAATCAAGCACTGATTCCTTAGCTGTGCAGTATGTAGCTATACAGGCTGGGCTATCCCAATTCCCATTGTGTAGTGTCAATGATCATAAAATTGCATCTCAGCATCTAATTTATAAAAGCTCGCTTATCCTGTGACAAATCATTCGAACAATCATACTGCCTGTTTGAAAAATAAAGTAAATATTACACCAAAAGCTATGTTTTAGAGGAAAAAGAATGAAATGTAATAAAATTAAACTAAAGGAAATTGAATATACACGTATAAAGATTGGTTGCTGTGCCTACAGCCAAGGAAGGGTCTGAACCACTCATAACCTATTAGGTTAGGGGGTGAGCCACCATACAAACTTAGTAAATTGGGTGCAAAAATTAAGTGCTCATAAGAGACAACATGAAAGAGTAGTATCAATAATATCCATTACATGTCTGGTCCTATATAAATTATTAGCAATGAAATTCAGTAAAATGTAAGAAAACTGTAAAGAGTGTAAGTACATACATACATTACATTCTGTAGATCCAAAGTAAGTCAGAATGACTGTGGGATGTGGAACAAGTCATACATATACAAAAGCCATAAATACTGTACAACTGAGAAAAGAAAAAAAAAATATATATATATACATCCACATATATAAGTCAATACTGTCAACTTATGCTATGTACATAACCCTTTAAAAGGATGAGTCATTTTTAGACAGTAGGAATTCATCACAGAGTAGAGTGAGTGTGTGTTTCAGTACTAATTTAAATTGCGCCTTTTCATTCATTAGACTCCGAGACTAGAAGGTAAACTGTTGAAAATTTTAATGCCAGAATAATATGCGCTTTTCTGAAAACATGTCAGGTTAGCAACTGGTCTGTGGAGATGGTGCTTGTTTCTCGTGTTAACACTGTGTATGTCCAAAGTGGTCTGAAAACGTTCTTGGTTATTTATAATGAGGCTTAATAATTAAAATATATATTCACATGGGAGAGGTAAGATCTGTAATCTCTTAAATAGCTCTCTACAAGAATTTTGAAGTTTTATGCCCACCATGATTTTAACAATTTTCTTTTGTACTGTAAATACCTTTTTGCTGTCAGATGAGGTGCCCCAAAATATTAGTCCATATGTCATTATAGAGTGAAGTAGGCAAAATAAACTGATTTCAGTGTATCAATGTTGCTGAAATGTAACAAAGCTCTTACTGCATAACATGCCCCACTTAACTTCGGAACCAACTGATCGATATGGTATTTCCAGTTTTAAGTGGTTATCAATTCGTAAGCCAAGGAATTTTGTGTGTACTGACTCTTCTGTATATTTATTATTATATCCAATGCTTAATGGATATTGAGGTGTATTATTTGTTATATTTTTATTATATTTATTTTATCTAGATTCAGGGCCAGTTTGTTAGCAGCAAACCATTTACTCATATGACAGAGAACACTATTCAATGACATACAGAAATCATCTAAATTCTTACTAGAAATTATTACACTAGTGTCATTAGCAAATATTATGGGTATTCATTGGGTATTTATCGTTGGGGGAAGGTCATTTATATAGATTATAAAAAGCAAAGGTCCTAAAATTGACCCCTGAGGAACTCCATGCTCTATTAAGAAAGCAGTTTTCTGGGATGTGGCACCGTGTAGATGTGGTGTTAACCCACGTTTCGGAGGAACGTATCCACTCCATCTTCAGGGTAGAAGGAAAAATAAGAAACTTAAGCGAAGAGACAGTGAGAACAGGTGCAAGCGGACTAATGTTGGAAATAAACTCAGCTATATGAGAGCTGAGAAGGAAGGATGGAGGGGGGACAAGTCTACATGGGAAATCAGTGGAGAGGGAGGGGGTAGGGTCTGGGACAGGAGCAGGGTTAGGTATAGGATATTGTGTCAGGGGCGAAAGGCAAGGTTAATGGGAGGGCATTAACGCTTAAGCTGGGGGGTTGCTATGTGAGTCGGTCATGGACTGTGTAGCCTTGTGGATCTGGCATCATGTCCCGGGGGGGGGGGTTAGGGAACAGATGAGAGGCGATACATTCCTCCGAAATGTCGGTTAACACCACATCTACATGGTGCCACATCCCAGAAGACTGCTTTCTTCATAGTCACCACCGTGAAAATCTCAAATCTTACATCCATGCTCTATTATTCTCCATTCTGAATAAGTACTTTGAGTTGCATTAGGTGATTTTATTTCAATCTTTTGTTTTCTGTCTACAAGGAAGGATCTGAACCAACTTGCCATTGTTCCCTGAATACCATAAAATCGTAATTTAGTTAACAAAATTTCATGATTAACACAATCAAAAGCTTTAGCTAAATCACAGAATATTCCACCTACATGCATTTTCTGGTTAATAGATTTTAATACACTGTCTGTTAGCATAAAGGCTGCATTTTCAGTGGATATTCCCTTCCTGAAGTGAGTATCCAGGCATGAGGACCGTTTCAGGCATCAAGGGGAAATCTAGATCTGACAGGTTAGTATTTTGGTGATAATACTGCAATCAGCGTGGCAGTTTAATTGAACTGAAACTATTTCTGCCTTCCCTGCCTGTATTATCCCACTCAAGAATCACACAATTCTGCTGCCACTGCATACAAAGACTCCATTTGTTTATTTCTGCATCTTACAGGTAAGAGAGTGAACTTTATTGTAAATATTTTATTTTAGCATAATAGTGTCAATAGGACACTAAAAGTATATTTTATACATTAAAAGTGATTATCAAAATTTCTGGAATGTCTCTGGTTTTACATGTATTTTTCTAGTTTTTTATGACATGTTTCGGCCTCACATGGGCCATCATCAAGTGATTTTTCTTTTTGGGGAGACCACTGTACTGCACTTGTTCAACGTGCTCCTTACAATGTTCCTTACAATGTCTGACTTTCAGAAATCCAAGCACACATATTTCATCCCTTAAGCTACTTCTCTTCTGATATATGTGTATTGCAGGATTCTTTCACTGAACTGTCACAGAAACCCATACATTCTTGTTGAGAGAAACAGTAGTATGTCACATGTCAACTAGACAGAATATCGTTTTAGTTAAGTACACATTCTATATAAAAGGTTGAAGCCTAAGCTTGAATAGCTCAGTCAGTAAAGTGAGTGGCTATAGGCTGGACAACTGAGGTTAAATTTCCAGCAAGGGTACAGACTATTCTGTTTGCCACCACGTTCAAACCAAATGTGGGGGCCACTTAGACTCTAATTCACTGAGTATTTGGGCCTCTTTCCTAGGACAACAGTAAAGCTTGCCATTCCCTCATACATTTCATGGTGTGAGATTTAGTTGGAGAATAAACTTCTAAATATATTATACAAACATACAAAATATTGCTTAATTCAGATGTTTGTTATACTCTGTAATTATACTATTGAAGCATTTATTTGTGATCTGTGAGGACAGTAATATGTTAATCATGATTCAAAGTAATTTGCTATGACTGGAATTAATATTATTTGTTTTACTATCACTTACTTGAAGAGTGTGTTCAAGTCCTTCTATCAGCAGATAGCAATCTGAGGATGAATTCCACTTTGTGATGGGTTCACGAGCCAATACATAATGACTGTCAATCTCCTTTCCCTCAACTGACACCAGTTCTGCCTGTAGTGTGATGATTTCACTGTCTGCTAGAATCGCAGGTACAGTAAAAGTACCTTCACCTGATGTTATTTCTATATCCTGACTATAGATGGCTGTTGTGCTGTCATACACTTTCACCCGCACACGAACAGATTTCTCTGTACTCACTGCCTCCACCTGAAAAGTCCAAATGATGCTTACTGTGCAGTGCTTGTTTCTCATGAGGGAGAGAATTTCATTAAGAAGTGGCAATGGTTCATTCTGTTTGCCTGCTCAGGAATTCTTTGTTCTCTTTTCATGTGTGTTCCAGAACCTGTTTCATAATGCAAGAAGAAAGAAGAGGACATTTACTCTACACCATAGCTGCAAATTACTTATTGCAGTGATTTAAATTGTAAAGGCACTGGTGGTAATAAAAGGATACACGAGAATAGTGAATCTTCTCTTATATAATCTAACGAATGAATAAATGAATGAATCAATAAACTGATCAGAAATAGTATTATCAGTATTATACTGTATGTGTGTCTACAGTGAAACTGTCTTATAACTGAAATTGAAACTTGCTGATAATGAAGCGTCTGTTCAAGAAACAAACCTTGCCCACAAATGGAAGTCCTGGCTTGTAAAGACGCCGCATCTCATGCCCAAACCTGAGCTCTACATAGTGTTCCTCTGCCATGGCCACTTCAGGCACTGCTACACCAGAAATTTCATCTGCCAGTGATATATTCAGGATAGAAGTGAATACTTCTGCCTCTACTTGAACCTGGACCTGCCAATTCCCAAGCTCTGCCTCTTCTGATAGAGCCATCGAGAATGACCTCACTCCTATATGAGAAAATAAATTAAGGCGCTATATGTATTTCCATTTGCTCTGAAGGAACTGGTCTTGTTGGTATGTGCAATATTATAAGTCGCCTTTAATTAACTACTTAAAATTAACATTTCTTATGTAAAGCTTTCTTTCTATGACAGACATTTTTATAAATTAAACATGATGGAATGTCAGAATTTAAACTCAATCCACTTTCCAAGAATTTTATAATTTTACACTTACCACACTGCTGAGAAACAAAACACAATGTGTTTAAATTTGCATTTGTCACCACACAAATTGCAAATGTCTAGTTACAATAATTCATGAATAAAGACTATTTCATGGTTGCATCTTAGATTTGCATTGTGTGTGATAGGCTCATTTTCAATGAATGTTTGTTGTGCATCTAAAGGCGCGTCCACATTACTCATACTCGTGCTTGTGCTTGCCAGGCTTGTGCTCGTCGGGAGACTCGTCTGGCCTTTATTTGTGCTCATAAATCTTCGTCCACACTACTTCAGTTGCTCGCCAGGCTTCAGCACATGAGGATCCGTATATTTACATGTACTTGTAGTGTGTATAGGCTGTAGTTGTATTTTAATTTATTGGCTATAATTTTTAAATTAAAAATTTAAAATTTGCTTGTCTCGTGACTTGTCATATTATCCACATTACTCGCGAGCATAGTGAGTCACATGAGCACAAGCATGAGCATGAGCACGAGCACAAGTAATGTGGATGCACCTTTAGAGAACAATTGATCAGTTTGTAGCTGTGTGGGAAGACCTCCGTTTAAATTAATGGTTTCTGAAGATATGCTACAAAAGGTGGTGCAGCACACACACATGGAGAGGAGCCCAGCACATCACCATAATAATTTTAAAGGTTTAGTTACAATAATTCTTAAAGCAGAAATATTAGAGCAAAAAAATTTGCAATGTTGTGATATTCTATTTTTCTTTTTTGTAAAACATATAAAAATTGCACGTTTTCCATAGACATCTATCTTCCAATGAACAACAGAGGTAATACAAGATTACACATAAAGATGGCAAATAGAAGGCCAGATGAACAAATGACCACATGACAAATACCCATGTAATTACCACTGCCACACACAGATTCCACCAGCCTTGAACAAATGGCTATTCTAAGGCAGCATTTGTGCAGAGGAGAAAGAAGCACATAAGCTTGCCATACATTATCACGTAATAAGTACAGGAAATTACAGAAAATATACACTCAAAAGTAGACAAATAGCGAAGCTGTACACAGTACCCAGAAACCACAGACAGGAGGATTTTCATTACTGACTGATAGAGAATACACAAGAAGACATTGTAATGTAGCTGAGCAAATCCGCCAGAAGTTAGCACTATAGACAGATTTCAGAGACAATAAATATACCTACACCACAAATCACACACATATATATATATATATATATGTGTGTGTGTGTGTGTGTGTGTGTGNTATATATATATGTGTGTGTGTACCACAAACACCTTGGAACTTACTGAAACAGAAAAATTGTCTCTGGTAAGTATGCACATACATGAGACAAATATGGCAGACATAACCTCAACAAAGGAGCAAGAAAAAGGCATATATATGATAGGAATTTCTGTACCAAACAGCAACTTACAACGAAGGCACCAACAAGAGATAACATAATATATATAGACATACCTAGCAGAAGGAATAGAGGAAACATGACATCAAAATAATGTAGCTAATAGTTCCAGTAATTCTAAATTTTCCATTGCAATCATTCCACAAAATCCCTTACTAGCTCGAACATCCACACTGAATTTACAAATGGTGGTAACAGTACCATGCTATGAAGACAGATGGGTGAGTGATTGTATTTGTCCATCATTCACTGGAAGGGTCTGGGTGATCTGATTCACACCTTAGTTGCTTTGACACCCTGAGGAAGGAACTCCTGGTCTTTACTGGTTGGGAGGATGGGTGGAAATGGGGAATCAGTAATTCAGCCTGTAGCCATGCAGTATACTGACTGAGTAATCCCAGGTAAAAACAACTACGGTACTAGAAGAAATGGTGAAGGTGTCCCCGTGTTTAATTAAGTAATACCCCATGAAGATGTATGGTGGGTGGATGTACAGAACCATGTACTACCAACCTCGGCACTAAATGGGGATCAATGTCGGCTTCATGCTTCGGCTGCTTTAGCCCCAGCGAAGGAGCGCGCAGAACCTACTGGATAGGAGGGTGGGTGGGCCCCAGGGCCGTTTTGGATACTGTGAAGAAGAGAAATTTTTTGCCCTCCTGGGAATCGAACCAAAATTCCTCGGTATCCAGGCCATTGCTAGTCGTTTTACCGACTGAGCTGTAATAACTATCTGATTGCAATGATTGTGAAATGCAACTGGAACAGGATTTCAAAAACGGTTCTTGTGTCATTTCAAGAAAATGTAGCGTTAGATTTCACGACACCAAAATACTTCATAAAATCAAAGCACTGTAATTTGTTTTCATTAACATTCAATGTGGAATTTGGTTCTAAAGTCCATTTAATATTATTTTGTGTGTGTTTCTTCCACCACTGTTCTAACATCGTTCATGAACACTGACAAGTTACGCGGCAGAATTTTGTAAAGGCCGAAAGTAGTGTGAACTTATCTTTTCAGGAATCAATGGTTTAGTTCTGATAGGGTAGAAGTTACTTGCACATCGTTGTGTAAACAAGAAGGAACACTGGTTTTTTCCGCCCCTACAAGTTCAGTTGACTTAGTGGCCACCAACGAAAGCAGTGAAAGTAAGAAAAGATGATAAGTAGAGCATCATGGTATATGATTAGATTTCTTCCTGTTTTACTGTATTCCTATATCTCTCTGCCTGTGTGCTGATCAGTGCTATCTAATATGCAAGGCTACGCAAAACCGAAAGCCGTCTCTCTCTCTCTCATTCCTTCCCTCCCCAGGTGACCCAAAAGCGAGAGAGATGCTCGGCCAGGAGATACCAATACTAGACCCATGTAAAAGGGAAACTTTTATAACTTTCTGTGGGATTTATCTACGGGGGTAGGTGGAAAGGTACCCGCAAAATATTCATGTCTTACTTCTGCAATTGGCCGCACTCTTGAATACGCACGCAACAGTAAGCATGAAAGTTCCTTATTGCCGTAGAGATATTTTTGATCCTCAGCATTTCGTTATTTTTCGCCACTAGTGTCAATATGGACGCTCAAGTTACCACATGCACGAAAGAAGAGTAGCTTGCAGTGATTCGATTTTTGTGGACTGAATGTGTAAGAGGAGCAAAATTCAGTCAAGGCTATCAGAACAGCGCGGTAACAGTTTTTGCCGCAGCGAAGCGTGTATGAACGGACTGACATGTTGAAAAATATACAAAACGCTAAAGAAGAGCAATCGGGGAGCCAGACCACACCTGCAAGCAAAGTTTTGTCCTCGTACTGTGACGGCAGTCTTCAATGAATTTTCGCACCTCTTACAGCTTCAGGCCACAAAGAACGAATCATTGCCCGCTGCACTTCTTTGATGCATGTGATAAGCGGAACGGCCACGTTGATACCACTAGCAATGAAAGACAACAAATGAACGAAGGAGATCAGAAATATTGCTGTAACAACAAGGACGGAGGTTCCATGCTTACAGTTGTGTGTGCATTCAGCAGTGGAGTCAGTTGCAAAGTAAGAGATACGAATATTCTGTGGGTATTTTCTGACTTACCCTCGTACATGGGATATATTTCATTTCGATTCGGTGCCTTAGACGAGATACTGAAATGACCCTTCTTTAATAAAAACACAAGTAGTTAGAAAAAAGTACTTCTTATGTTGATTACCAGGTACATAATCATTTGTAGGTATTGTAATATAATAAATATGATAATTATTGTCGTAACACGTATGATGAAAGTACCAAGAATCTAACATTGTTAAAAGGAGTTGGAAATAAGTAATGTTAAGGATCTTTTTAGATGTTTTTTCTGCACCTGTTATTTAATTGTTGATTATAATACAAAACTGAAATATATGAGACAGAATCAGTAACGGGTTATAACAATGAAACCACCGCGTCCGCTCGAGGAAGAGCTAAATACAGACTCAGGTATTAACTTAATTCTGATAACACAGTGCAAATTAAAGAACATTTCGAGATTTCAACTGAGTAAAAGTCCCCAGGGCACTGGAATAATCTGTGTGTCTGGGTCTGTGCATACGCAATTGTCACGTTCCACAGGGATGATCGCTAAATCAATCACTATCTCCTGACTCATTACAGTACGAGCACGCAAGTAATTCTCGATCAGCTTTCAGGAGGGTGCGCAGTGGTTCTGCTTCACTCATTTCAGCTTCATTCCGCTCGGCTCAACTCATTTTGACGTCATAGAGTCATGAATAGTTCTTAAGAAAAAGGAGCTATTGCGATTATTCTCATTTCGAGATATCTCGTTTTGGTCTAGGATAACGATTAAAACAATATTAGGTTCCTGAATGTATGGAGATTTTGAAGGTAATAGAAAATGCTTTCCAAGTAGTACGAATTCGAGTGAAGATGGTTACAGAAAACAACCGAATTTCTTTTGCAGCGTATTCAAGACGTAGTGTCATTTTCAAGCTTTCCATAAATGTGATGTAGAAAGTCCAGCGAAGGCAATGTAGGAGCAGATCTGAAGGATCCATATGTCAAACCTCACTGTTGTACAATGCGTAAGTGAGGAGGGATGTCAATTCATTTTTGTGAGAGAAATGTTGACAGAAGGAATGCATTAGATCTGGACAGCCAGTCATCATTCTTGGAATTAAGATATGAAACTATGTAGGTCTTACAAATACCGAAGGTCATGAGTTCGTACCCAGAAAAATCGAAAATTCTAGAAATCCCGGAAATGATATGGGTTCGCCCTCAAATTTCGAAATTTCTATGGCCATAAATGTAAGGTCAGATAAAATTGTTAATTCCAGAAATAGTTAGTTTTTAACAGCTCGTTCTAGAAATGTTATGCTTATTTAGAATTTCCGATATAAGGTACAGGTGCCTAAAAATAATAAGGAAGGTATTATCGGCAACTGAAACATGGGTTAATTAATGATTACATATTACTTCATTATTTATTAAGTACAGCGCTGAGCTAGGATACAGGCTTATTTCAACTAACATTCTGTGTATTAAAATGTAATTTGTAACAAATTTACCTGAATGCAACAAACCAGAAAGCTTGACTGCAAGCAAATAAAATACTTCAATGAAAAGCGACCAATGTGTTTTACTTTTAAATACACCTGAGCATGCGCAATGTGCGTCCTCCATCATCCATTCAAGGCATTTTTCCAGCTCGCATATACGAGTAATGTTGGTGCGTGCTATGAATTGGAGAAGCTTATGCCTCGATTCTGGGTGAACAAAATTTGTGCCAAATGGAACGTGTACTTCGAATTTCACGATTTTTTAATGACTTGAGGGGGAACGACGTAAAATTCTTTAAATGCTTTCGGATTGCATCAAGCAAGCTCTACTTGGTGAAACACAAATCAAATTTTGGCGATGCAATTTTTCTGGCAGAACAGCGACTTTGAAATCGGTGACTTTATTTATTTTATATTTGAAGAATTTACTTTTCAAAAGGAAATTAAAATAAATTTCATTTTCCAAAAATTTGTGTCGGACTCACATTTACAAATTTCGAACACAAAAATCTGTATCATCTTTCGAATTTCGAACAGAAACAATTACTAAAATATTGGCTTTTAAGTTCTCATTGCTGTGATTATGAAAAGTTCAGTTTTTGGGTATAATGCCCTGTAGTCCGATGAAAGCAAGCAGATATTTCGGATGAATATGTGGTCATCTTCAGTGTAGAATTATACGCAATGCAAGAAAGTAACCTGAAGCTTATTACCTGCTTCATGCTGGCTTTTATCTTGGCTTATTCTTATGCCCTGAAGAAGGAAGCGATATGTTCCCCCGAAACGTCTGTCGTCTTTCACCGGACTACACGGCGTTTATTCCAGAATACAGATTTTTTATTAATAAAATGCATTTCGACTTAATAACAATATTTATGCATAATTGTTCAAGTTCTAATTTTTTAATTCGGCGAGCACAGATCTTTTGTGAAAGTTTGGCAGTGTGGGAAGGGAAAGTTCGAAATTTCTATGAACTCGTTTGTATTTATTTGTAGTAGGCAAAACAAATTATAATAAACAAGGCCGCGCCATAGCTCAAGCGGTTAGTCGCTGGCTTCCCACCGCGGCAGCCCGGGTTCGATCCCGAGTCTGGTCAAGTGGGATTTGTGGTGGACAAAGAGGCGCTGGGGCAGGTTTTCTCCGAGTACTTCGGTTTCCCCTGCCAATCTTCATTCCACCAATTGCTCCACAATCACCCTCACCTATCATCTGGGGCTGGTACAATAGGCCAAAAGTGACCGCAGTGAAAGGGACTTAGTCCCACCCCACTAGCAATAAAAATATTAAAATAAATAGATATTTCAGACCTTGAACTATATCAATAGTGTTCGATTACTATCATTATTGTTAAATTATCGTGTGCTTAATTACGATCTTTACTTACGAATTATCAGATTATCAAGTATACATTCTAACTTATCCTATAGATATTTTTACGTCCTGTAATTTTTTTATTTCCTTGGAGTGGGGTGAGACAGAGTCCACTTGGTACGTCTGTCACTATGTACCAGCCAGAGTACGGAGTATTTTTTGGAATGAGAATAGGCAGGGGAAACTGAAGTCCAAGGAGGAAACCTGCCCCAATGACACTTCTTCCACCACAAACTCCACATAACCTGACCTGGGATCGAAGCCAGGCCCACGGTAGGAAGCAGGCGATTAAGCGCCTGAGCTATATCCTGTATAGCAATTATATTACGTGAGTATTACTCACGGTACTATGGTATTTAGGAGGCGGGATAGTGTAGTCGGTATAGCGACTGGCTACAGGCTGGACGCCCGAGGGGTCGGAGTTCGAGTCCCGGTAGGGTCAAGAATTTTCTCTCCCAACAGCGTTCAAACCGGCTCTGGGGCCCACCCAGCCTCCTATCCAATGGATATCGGGGTTAAAACGACAGGGACGTGAAGCTGAACACTCACCTCCAACTAGTGCCGAGGTAAAGAAAATGTAGATCTATACATCCACTCTCCCATACGTCTTCATGATGTAATGCTTAGTTACTTGAGTACAGGACAACTTTACCTGTACCATACTATGTTATTTAGCTTACAAAGACAACACAGATATCCAGACATATCGACCAGGCGTGTTCTGTTTCCGTGGTATCGTGGTTCGTTGAATTTATGTTTTTATAGTGATGGTTAAACTTCTAACCACTCCAATCAGCAGTTATACATTCATTTGAAGCAATTACACAAACAAATACGCACTCTTTTGTGGCGTAACCGCGCATTCGTGTGTTGGCTGACCACAGACTGCGCTGAATGTAACGTCTGCGCTTCGTAGAATCTCGGTAATTTATGGCTTACATCGGCTTTCCTCCTCGTGTGCAATCCGACAGGCTATTCGCGAACAAGGTCTGGGTCAGACGGATTCGAGCTTTGATGAGATGGACCGAGCTTGACGGAAGTGGTGAGGGGCGGCGTTATTGTGCTGAGAGATGGCGGAATTTCTTGCGATCAACTTCTTCGTCTGCTTCGGATCCCCCAGAGAAAAGCACAGCGACCAAGGCCGGAACTTCGAGCCGCAATTTCTACAGGAACTGTTGCGACGCGTGTGAATATTCAAGATGTCGACAATCCCTCGGCACCCGCAATCAGAAGACATGGAGGAATGTTACGTGGAGACTGTGGAGGAGCACCAGCGGAGGATCGTATTGACGCATGAGAACGATTGTGATGAGAGCATACACGAGAGCACAGGCACGACAAGCGCCAGCGTGATGTTCGGCAGAGAGCTACGTGTGCCTTGTGCCCTGCTATCTGGGGCTTCTTCACCGGGCAACGATCAGCCTGCGGCAGAGTATGTATCGAAGTTCGCGGAACGGGTGCATGACATCAACCATCAGGTCTGCCAACATCTGAATGTTGTCAACGACATAATGAAGGCCAATTATGGCTGCCTGATGAACTCCGCGGGAGTTCATGAATGAGACCATGTCTTGTCATACTGCCCAAATTTGCACCAGAAGAAAGTCACCTAAGCTGCAACCATCCTGGGAAGGACCTTCTTTATTTTTTAGTTTCTTGGAGTGGGATGAGACTGAGCCCAGTTGGTACTTCGGCCACTAATTGGTCTGTTGTACCAGCCCCGGATGATAGATGATGCGTGTGGAGCAGTCAGATGAATGAGAACTGGCAGGAAGAACCGTAGTGCTCGGAGAAAACCTGCTCCAATGCCACTTTGTCCACCACAAACCCCACATGACATGACCTGGGCTCAAACCTGGGCCGCCGCGGTGGGAAGCCGGCGACTAAACGCCTGAGCTATGGTACAGCCTTGGAAGGGCCCGTTCAAGGCGATAACAGAGAACAACGACGAAGTCTCTAGGATCCGGTGACATCCTACGATGAACACGATGGTGATGCACTTGGGCAGGCTGACACAGCACCTTGTGGCTTATCAGGAGGAAACACTGTCAAGGAATTTGGCCACGAGCTTCATTCTTACTTTTGAATTTGGTTAGATTTTTTTCCATTTGACTTTTGGCGCCTTTTCGAAAACGGCGCCTGAAGTAGATGCCTAGTCGTTTTACCTATTAGCATGATTACTATATCGCCTTTCGTTTTGACACTCCCTTACTTACACCTGATGAAGGAAGCGACACCAAGTGAAATTCTATGTTTAAAGTAACAGGATGTACGGTGCCCAAAATAACAGCCACAGTTACCATAATCAGAAACATTTAGACTTAGTTCACAAGTAGATCATACCAGCAACTATGGGGGAACATCTTACAAGCTTTCAAGAAATGATAAATTCATATTTATGAACATTGCGCAGGTTAAAGAATTGCGACTCCCAGTTTATTCAACGAGAACAGGCCCCGCGCTTACGAACATTTTAACAAATTAACATTAACAAATATAACGATATATCTTATTAAAGACAAAATAAACTTACGAACTTTCTATTTGCGAACATATTTCAAAGAATACATTACGTTCGCAAGTTGGAGTACGCCTGTATACGGACTCGACATGCGCAATCGAGATGTGCATTGAGATTCCTTACCTTCATCAAGCGCCACTTCTTCCCAGAGCGCCACCTTCGTTCCAGCGGGGTTTCGAACAAAGACACTCCCGATAATGTCACTGGCAACTCTGAGATCGTGGTCAAGGGCCAGCACCCAGAAGAACACTGAAACATGTACAGCAAGCAGCAGGTATGTTTATGTTATGGGACTTGAAAATAAGAAGCCATTTCACAACATGATCGTTTATTGTAAATTTGGTGTAATCATGTACAAGTATATGTAATATTAACTATAATGTAGATAAATATACAGCAATTAAATTTATAATACTCTAACGAAGTCGCCGGGGTCTCACTCGTGGACATTTTAAAATACGAGGAGATAAATAGACATTACGAAAGTAGTGGTATATTAATTATTTATCATGAAAGAGGTGTAATAATGTATATTAAATATTAATTAAAATTCAGAAATACAAAAAGGAATCTATAATCAACTGCCAAAGCGCCCAGGTTCTTCTTACAGTAAAAAGCTAAGGTAAAGCTATCCCTGTTACAGGCCGTGGTGGCCCATAGGGTTGTGAGACATTGAGGATCCCTTAATTTCTCTAGACAATTGGCTCACAGATGGCGGCAAGGTTGCCAGCCTTACGCGTCTGCCGCCCTTTAACCCCCAGGAAGATCCCTGGTACTAATTTCTGTTACAGGCTGAGTCGACCCCAGGGCCATAGTGCGGCAGGAAGGATTAGGTAAGCTGAAAAAATCCACCTCATCGGGACTCGAATCTGCGACCTTCCAACTTGTGGCATAGTGCCTCAACCAACTACGCTACCGAGTACCCCTAGTATTATATCGGATTGCTGGAAAATTCATCTTTGTTTAGAGAACGGCTTTGTAGGAACACTTCCTTGCTCAGTGGTGTATACATTTTTTGGCCATTTCTCGATGTATGTCTATGTGAGCACCACCTAAAGACCATACTGTCAGTGATCACTTTATGCCATGTAGTTTAGTGGAGAGGTAGGCCATTTATTGTAGAGATAAAGCACTACGCCATGAAGACGTATGGGGAACGGATCTGCAGATCCAAGTACTCTTGACTTCGGCACTAGTTCCAGGTGAGTGGTAAGTTTCACGAACCGGCTGTTTTATCCCCGTGGAAAGAGTCCACTGTAACCATCGGATAAGAGGCTAGGTGGGTCCCAGAGTCCATCTGGACGACCTGGAGGTTACAAACTTCTTGCCACTGAGAGCCTAACTCTAACCCCTCGGCCGTTGAGCTCGTTATACAATTGTTATACAATTAAATAACTAATTCCATAGGGCGAAAGCCTTCTTGGGGAGCCAATATTCACTTATTCCCCGCGTTTTAAGGGACCAAAATGTTATTTGCCGTGTTTTCAAGAGCCAGCCATTGAACCCTACACCAATCCAACTGAAACATATCCAAACACTTTTATGATATGCATTTTTTTAAAACCCTCATATCGACGGCTAGGTCTCCCAGGTTATTAACTGCTTTCAGGTTTTCCAAAAAGAAAAATATTGTCATCATTGTACCTCTCACTCATGGATGGTACATGGAAGTTTACCTACAATCTCAGCATCCTGAATGTAATACTTAATATTTGGTGAGGGATACAAATTATGCATCTCCTTATCATGCAGTGTTCTCTCCAACTTCCTCTTATTCCTCAGAATTATTGACACAAGCTTACTACCATAAAATTGAATCAGAGGGCTTTTTACGGACCATCCTATGAAGCTCCATAACTCGTGAACATGTTATATCTTTCTAACAATTTTTTTTCTGTGTGATACAGTCCTGTTTTGATATTGATATTCATATATTCCCCTGTACAATTAACATGGAATAATGGGGGACGAGCAATGGAAAGCAATTATGAATGACTACTGCCTGAACATTGTAACAATGGGAACTGAATTATAATCATAGAATCGGAAAGAGAGAATACGAAGGACAGGACATTAAAGCAGAACATTTGACAATCGAACAATAGCAATCAATGTCTACTTACAAAATGAACGTAAATCCCAACATTTAAATGTATAACGAATCACATTTTTGTCCCTGATGATGAGAACATAATATAAAAAACATATGAAAGTAGACAATAGTTGTTTACTATATGAATAAAAATGAACAGACACGACTGCCATATTGGACAGTGGATCGATTGACGTATGATAAGGGATGTTTGTTTTTCACTCTTATTTACTGAAGCAACATTATCTGCCGCTTGCAGTATTTGTGGAGCAGGGTGGGGAGCAGGGGGCTTCTGTATGTGAGGGGTTGGATTGACGAGTTTGCTAATTGATGGAACCGACAGACATACAGTCAAATATGCACCAATAATGCAACAAAATATTCCAGCAGAATGCAAATTTAAGTTCGGGGAGTGGGATGACAAATGAGAAGAGCAGGTGCTCAGTGGTACCAACTTAAATTGGATTATGGTTGATGTGCAGATATACAAGGACCATACTATTTAGAGCAGTAAATATTCCTACATAAATGTATTTAAAATTGTACATAAAGTACCAAAAAATTAACACATATTTACTACATTTACTACTAAAAGTAACTCTCTTTTTTTTACCCCTTCATATTAAGCTCTCTGGTCTGCTCCACATCAGAATCATTCTGGAATTATGGATCTCATAGACAGTTGGTAGGACTCCTTGGACGAGTGATCAGCCCGTCTCAAGGCCGCTACCTACGCAGGACAAAACAAACAGAAAAAAGAAAAGTAGGAAGATATCCATGACTCGATTGGAATTCGAACCCACAATCCAGTGTTTGAGAGGACGAAGAAATTTCATGCCTTAGAATGCGTGACTATTGTGATCGGCTTGATAAATAAGTTAACTACGTAATATTTTCACCTACATCTTGTGACGTTTTACTGCCTTCACAGTTGTTAACGTGACGGAATGCACGGAGTTCTCAAGCTCGGCAAACCATTCCAGTTCTTGAGCTGCATTCATAGACGTAGATTCTAAAGGGTTCTGACGATGCTAGATGACACAGAATTTCTGGGTTTTTGGACCTTTTCCATTGTCCGGAATTCTAGGTAATAGAGAACACTCTACGTAATAGAGGACACGATGTTTCGGAAACTTGTTCTGTGTCCGTCTTCAGGTGAGAAGGGAAGACACGTACTCAATTGGACCTCCTAGAAAGAGCTAATCATAATTTTATAGCTAATTATAAACGTTTCCTCCTAAAGGTACTGCGGTTAATGATTCTTTTCCACAGTTTTCTTTTTTTTTTGGAACAAATACTTGTAGTCACCCATACAACTGCGCGGTATGATAACCCAAAAGACGAGTACAAGTTTCGAACTGTGGAAGAGAATTATTAATCCAAAACCATATTCAAGTAGAGTTTTATCTTCTCAGATATAACGGCGTGTAGTCCGCTGAAAGTCAATTGTGGTTTCGGAGGAACATATCGCCTCCACCTTCATTGTCGAAAAATAAGTCAAGCAACAAACCAATTAGCAAGCAGAGAACATTGTGCTTGCTACTTGATTCACGCTTGTTTCTTGCTTGGCTTCAGCACTGAAGATGGAGGCGACATGTTCCTCCGAACTTCGGTCGAATTTCAACGGACCACGCGGCGTTGTGTCCCAGACAGAACTCTTCAAAAGCGCCACTGTAAGAATCTCAAGTCCTACAAATTCAGGTGTTTGGGAAGTGCTATAATCTGGAAAATATTGAAGGCTGGTTTGTCAATAATCCGAGATACTGAAGTCATTAAAGTGGCTGGTAAATAACTGGGCTACCGGGTTCATTTCTCGACAGACGCAGGATTCCTTTCCTGCCATGTCCAGGCTGGCTCCAGCCCCGATCCAGCATGTATCGGAGGAATCTGGCACGCTGTATATTGGGAGTAATTGTCAGGCTAGTGAAGCAGTTTATTGAGATTACAGCCGAGTTTTAGAATAAGGGGAGTTTGTCTCCATGACCTACACACCTGCATGGCATGGTGCCTAGAAACAATGTCAATTTTATCCCCTTTTACATAATTCTCCTTCATACCTCAACTGCAGAGAGGAAACTTGAACTATATTCCCGCTTCCTCTGTCATTACGTCCAAATTTCGGGGGTATTAAAAGTATTGTGGTATTGCTAGTGGGGTGGGACTAAGTCCCTTGTACTGCGGCCACTTCTGGCCTATTGTACCAGCCCCAGATGATAGGAGAGGACGATTGTGGAGCAGTTGATGGAATGAAGATTGCCAGGGGAAACCGAAGTACTCGGAGAAAACCTGCCCCAGCGCCAGTTTGTCCATCACAAATCACATTTGACCAGACCCGGGATCGAACCCGGGTCACCGCGATAAGAAGCCACCGACTAACCGCTTGAGCTATGGCGCGGCCAAAGTAACGTGAAGATGTATTCTACACAATATGAACAAGATTTGCTTTTGGAAATTCCTTACTGCAATTTATACTTCCAGACAACCAGCCGGAACAACTTCGCCAGAAATGGTGAGCCACTGTAACCAACTGAGATACCGGCTGGCACCGGTTATTAAAAGTTTTGTCTATATTAACATCTGCAGACTATTGTATAATTCACTATGGGGCACGCGGTAGCGTAGTTGATTGAGGTACTATGCTACAAGCAGAAAGGTCGTGGGTTCGATTCCTGTTGAGATCACTGGATTTTTCAATTGACCTAATTCTCTCAGTCGCACTATGGCTCTGGGGTCGGCTCAAACTCTAACAGAAACGAGTACCAGGAATCTTCCTGGGGGGTAAAGGACGGCCCGCTCGTAAGGCTGACAACTTCACGTCATCTGTGAGCCGATTGTCTAGAAAATGTGACAGCCTCGACCTCTCAAAACCCTATGGGTCTCCAAGACCTGTTACAGGGATAGTTTTGCGTTTTTACCTTTTTACTACGCCATTAAATTTTTATAAGATTTTTGCTGTTATGTAATGTATACACCGTGAACACTGAGAAGTATGGTTACCCAGGGAAGGGCAGCTATCAGAATACACAGTATTCCGGCCTGCTATCTTGCCAGGTGTTCTGAACAGTGCAATACACAGTCAAATTTACGAAGCAGCCTCACAAATATAACCAGTGACGTTTGTATCAATTTGAAAATCACATGCCAGTACAAACTAAGA